TATTCGTCTCATAGCCGCGGTGTTGGTGCCACGTGTTCGGTACAGAAATATTGCATCATCTTCAGGGCCCCACCAATCGCCGACCAACAAAATCTCCTCGCCGATCTCATGCCTCCCACATCCTAAAACTTCCAATCTCAAGACAGATTCTTATTATTCCATTTCAATCACAATATAACATAACGTAAGATACGGCACTCAAATAAAAAACAAATTTTTAGCTACCTTTTTAATTTTTTATAATGCATTTTATAATTTTTATAGAATTTTTAATTTAAAAATATTAATAATAATTTATCTTAAGTAATCATTAATTAAAGGTAAATTTTCATCTCGTTATATTTTTTAAATTAATTAATTTTAACTGTTTTTATTAATTTGTGTAATTTAATTGAATGTATCTTTAAAAAAAGTCACAAAGAATATGGGTATATTTAGTATTATTTTAATTAATATCCTTAACATCAAATTTCCTAAATATTACTTTAGAAGTATACTATAACTAGAATTTCTTCAATCCGATCTTGTCCCTTCCACTTGCTAGTCGCCGCTGTCTTTTTCAGTTTTTTTATCGCCCGCAATTGTTTCAAACACCCGCTGTTCTACTTCGACGTTCACACTCACCAGCACGTAAGTATTACAAAGAAATTTGATTTTGACCTTAACAGAAAAAACGAAATTTTATGTTTATATGCTCATTAGAGTATACATGTGAGAAATAAAAAATATATATAATGAATAATATGATAAGACAGAAAAATTAAAAAAATAAGTAAAATAACAGAAATTTGCTGTAAGTAAAATGAAAAAAAAAGTGTTGTAGTAGTAATTAAATTTACTAGAATAATATATATGTAACTCTGTATTTGTTAATGAATAATTATATAGTTTTTTTTTCAGTATGAAGAGAGTTAAAATCCTAGAGTTTATATTCACTCGTGACACGAATCCGTGGCTGTGTCCAGCTTTTCAAAACCGTGTTTGAAGTTGGATATGATTTTAACTTAAATGATACTCAATAGTTTATAGTTCTTCATTACTTCCATAATCAGTAATGTAATTATAAATGATAATGCAGGACTAATAATAAAGTTCGCCATCAACCCACTCAGCAGGACTCTCCATAAATTTCAGATCGTTGGAATTGAACTTTGGTGACGAAGAGAAGTAACTGCACGAGAAGTGAAAGAGATAGGTACAATCCAGAAAGTGAGAAAAACGAGATACATGTAGCACTACTTAAGTATTGTGACTTTGTAGTATAATTTAATTTTTAATCATGACATATGAATCAACAGAAACGAAGCTAATTTCCTCCCCTTCTCCTGAAAAACTATTGTATAATTAAAGATAATACGTGATTATAATATCAATTAATTAAAAATTAGCATATGACTAAATATAACGGTTTAAAAAACTGCAATGTTATTAATAACTACAATGAGAACTCAGTTCACCTGTTTTATTTATTTTTTATATCTCTTCAATTAAAAATTAACAATTAAGAGAGAAAATAATTTTTCAGTTAATAATGTATTATTTTATTATAATTAAGAAACAAAAAAGATTTAAAAAATAGTTCAATTCCTGCAATAGATATATATATATATATATATATATATATATATATATATATATATTTTTACTTTGTTAAAATGTCTTCTAATAGGAATGGGATTAGAATACTCTTTGTAATTTTGTGTGTGGTCCTTTTTCTTATGAGTTAATTTTTAGGAGTAAGTTAGGCTCAAGTTTTTTGACACACTTTTTTTTAGTATATCGTATCCCATGTTAATTATTATGCAGTCCAAATTAAGCTAGCGATGATTAATAAAACTTAACAAATGATACGACAAGCATCAAGTTAAACTGCAACCATAGACACATATTCTGTGGATGTAAGAAGTGTGAATGCTATATTCTTTTATTAACGGAAATGGCAATACAAAAAACATTACGGTGTGTATTGTACCTTGAGATGTTGGGCACAGTTTCCATCTCCTAGTCACTTTTTCTTTTTCTCATCTGTGTTTTCTTTGACTGATATAGGTTTGACTAGTCAACCGGCATGTAACCCACCCATGCATACAATGCATGACCCACCAGAAAATTTGAACCAATATTTGATTAACTTAATGAATTTTAATAACGATCATCATTCATGAATTTTCAACCACAGGCTTATGTCAATCAACTTATTGAAACAGCACAGGATGTAACAAAGACTAAATTTTCACAGTATCCAAAGGATATCTGGAAGCGCGTTCAATCATTGTTTGCTAATTTACATATTCTTCAAAAGATAATAACAGCAAAAACCATGGTAACATTGTTTTTCTTTTTAATAAATAGGCAATTTAATCTCGAAAAAAATATAGGGCTGATCATATTATTTAGTTTTTAATGATAAAGTTGCGCTCAAAATCTCCAAATGTAGATCTGAGTCTAATTAATCCTTATGCCAAATATTTTAGACACAAAATTGGATCAATCAAATAAAGTTTTAGGGACAAATTTAACGAGCAATTGTCATTAAGAGACTTAAGTATAATTTTATTATTTAAGGACTATTGATATGACCAATATATCTTTTAGGAATTAATTTAACTATTTTTATAGTTACCTTTTGAGTTATCATTTTTTATGATATTCTTACTAAGAAAGAAATGTGGGCCAAACACAATTTTAAATAAATTCTAAAAAATGAAAATAAGTTTTTTATTTTTGTAAAAATTATTTAAAAAATCAGACGAAGTGCTACCTAATTTGTTTCTCCGTCGTCCACTTCAATATTCCAGCTCCTTAATATTAGTGAAGCCATATATAAAACACCCAATTCAGGAACAAATTTGAATTTTTTGGCTACATATTTCTGATCAGGGTTAAACTTAAAACCTAAAAGCACCTTCGATGTTTAACTTACTTAGTATTTCTGACCATCTATCACATGCCATATTTGTTTCGCCTATAATTTAAACTCGATTTCGATTATTTGAATACAAAGCTAAAATTTATTATGTTATGAATTGTTTGGGTGGAATGCATGTTCATGTCTTCTTTGTAGAACCAAAAAAGTGCCGTACAACTTATTTAATCAAGGCTTAAAAATTAACAAATGAAAGAATGGCTGTTAACTTTCTTTTAGGTTTTGATTAAAGAACGAGTCCCAAGATACAGATAGATCGCTTGTGGAAAAAAGGGAAGAGAGTACTTTTTTTTCTACCAGCTAAGCGACAAATTAATTAAGCGCCATACATGTGAGGAAAATCTAATTAATTAGCTGTAGATCAATCAAATAAACAATCAGACGAAACTAATCATTTGGTCCTGCATCGACAAAAAATAGGATCGAAACACAAGTTTGCCATGTGTTTGGTTGATCAGCAGAATCCGATCGAGTCTGTTGTTTTACTAGCTAATTTATGTTGGAAAAGTGAGGGTCCGTTGTGCTTTATTTTTCAACGATAAGGTCCAGTGAGTGTGGTCTATTGTGTCCATGTATAATTCTTACTCAGCTAAAATTAATGTTTTCTAAGTTACGTACTTATTAAGGAACATATGAATTCATATATGCCAATTATTTTTTGCTGCTCAAACTTAACTTGCAAGTTGCAACAATATGTTAAGAGATCATTTTTAAGCCATCATATCAGCAATGGATATGGTTTATATATAAATCCAGGTGTACAAATTTTTGAACTAGTGGAGAGGCAGCACCATATAAAAATTAAATAATAACCCTAAGCTTTGTTAGTAAAAAGAATTTATTGTTTTGTTATCCTTAGAAAATAAAAAAACATTGGTTTTGGTGTGAACTGACTACAATAGGAAATTATGTCTGTTGAGTGGCAACCTAAAGAGTTCCATTGAATAAGTGGAAGTTAAGACACGTCACTTGGTGTAGGCAGAATATAATTTATCATGATCAGATTCAGGATATGAGGGACCACGGGTACCCAAATTGAAGGGCCAAAAGACCCAAATCCATTAAAGTAAAATTGACTGATGAATTGAGAATTAGTGAGTGATGACTGACTGGTGAGGTGGCTGACATAACTGAGTATATGTATGTACCAGCCACAACGTGTTTCATGTAATAAATTAATACCATATTTGAACTCATGTTTGAATGAGTTAAGGAGTTATATCTGACAGTTTGAGTTTAAACTTTTATTAGTCTTTTACAATTTTTTTTTTAAATTTATGCTTGAAAAGATATATAAATATACATGCACACTAGAATAATAGAAGAGGTAAATGAGGTGTGAGATTATTTAGTGTGTGGGAGTAAATGAATGAATAGAACAGAAAAATGAATGAAAGATGTGAAGAGGACGAAGATGAAGATCCTCTTTCACAGTGACCGGTGGTGTCCCCCTAGCTGTCTCAAACCATCATTACCGGTCCACATCAGCCGGACATTCAACAAACGACGACAAGAATAATTAACATTTCATTGCTTGTAAATTGGGTCCCACCTCATCATACCCATCCAAAAATATCTATATTCTCACCCCCTTCTTAGACCAAATCTCTGTTTTTCTTCATGTCCGATAATGATATTCTTATTTTAATAGATTAGATTAAATAAATGGGGGGAGGATATTTTTATTTAAAATTGAGAATATGGGAACGCATAGGGCACGAGGTTTATGTTTGGGGGCTGAGGAAAGAAAATGGCTTGTCGATGAGATATGAATTGGGAAGTGGTGGATGTGTAGGGACCAGTACAAAGAAGGTGGGGCCAATTAATAGTTGCATCCACTGACCCAGTGGGGCACACAGACAGCGACTGAGGTTGGGGTTTCTTTCAGGTTCGTATGAAACCGTTGCACAACAGTTTTGAGTACAATGACTCCAATTTGAATGCTTTCTCTGCGTGCAAGCTAACCTCATTCATTCATAGATCATAATATTGTACGACAAAAACCATCATTATCTTCTCTCTCTCTCTTGGGATTGCTTGCTTTATATATATGTAGACAAGTTCTGTGGTTTCTATTACTACCTCACTTTGCATGTCCATAAGCCATTCTCTCTATCTTAATTTCCTGTCTCTCGCCCTTTCCTCTTTTTTCCCATCCACATAGATACACTCACTTACACAAAAACACGTCTTTTGAGATTCTTCTTACTCAAGAGTGCTTCATCTGACTCTGATTGTATGGATGGATCCTTCTAGTGGACAACCCCAGGTAGGAATTAGGATCTGTCATGCATGCCTGCTTGCTTTTCCTCTTATTTTGCTTCATGAGGTTTTATTGGTATTGAGGTTGTGGTTGGTTTTCGGTTTTAATTCTTCCCCAAGAACAATTTTAAAGTTTGAATGGATTAGTAAGATTACATAGAAAAATTGGTTTTTTATATTTACTGTAATTTCCTTGCAACAAGTTTGGGAAAGTTCTTTCCCTTACCCAATCCATGGCTTTGCTATCAAGTATGGGCAAATTAATTAACTTTAATCTTCTGAGCCATTATTTAATTACCTTGTCAACAAAATACAAAAATTGGAAATTTTTGAAGTGTTTTCTTTCAAATTGTATTTCTTATTTCCGTACATAAACTCTCCTTTTTTTATGTATGCATACATCATACATGATACATCACTTGGATTCATCTGGGGAAAATTAGCTGGCCTTAATTAACTATTTCAAACGAACTGATTGGATTTTATGTATTGTGTTGCAGGAAATGTCTAGCCAGTCACTGGAGAACATGTTAGGTTGCTCAAAAGCACAGCAAGAGAGGAAGCCAAGGCCTCATCCAGAACAAGCTCTGAAATGCCCAAGATGTGACTCCACTAACACCAAGTTTTGTTACTACAACAATTATAGTCTTTCTCAGCCAAGATACTTCTGCAAGTCTTGCAGAAGATATTGGACTAAAGGAGGAACACTGAGGAATGTTCCAGTGGGAGGGGGATGCAGGAAGAACAAGAGGTCCTCATCTTCATCAAAGAGGGCTCAGGATCAGACCTTCACACCCAATCCAAACCCACTCACTACCCTCCCTCACTTGTCATATGGCTCTAGTGACTTCACCTTAGCATTAGCTAGGCTCCAAAAACAGTCAAGTGGGCAATTGGGTTACAATGATCATGATCTTTCAATTTTGGGCAATCCCACAAGTTCCCTTTGTGATATTCTTGGCCATTCAGGCATGAACCCCTTATCAACAAACCCTGGTTTCTTGGATGCAATTCGAACTGGGTTCCTTGACACACACAACAATCTTCAGAATATGTATTGTGTGTATGGAAATGGGGACATGGGGGAGGTAGACAATGGAAATTCTTGCGGTGTTGGTGTTAGTGGAGAGATGGTTCTCCCTTATGATCAAGAGATGAGCAATGCAACTACTCAGTCAATGAGTGTAACTAGCATGAAGCAAGAAGTGTGTAGTGGCAGGGAACAAAGTGAAATGAGGGTGTTGGGTGGTTTCCCATGGATGCTCAATGGAGACACAAACATGGGTGAGCTTGATTCAGGAAGAGCAGGTTGGAATGGTTTCACATCTTCCTGGCATGGGCTTCTGCATAGTCCTCTAATGTAGACCCACCACTGCCCCCAGAAGAATCAGAAGGCACTGATTTCCTCTAATGTTTGACTAAAATGATTTTAGTCTTAATTAAACTGTTAATCCTCTTTAGTTTTGGGTTAATGGGGATTTGATTCACTTGGATCTATTTTTTTTTCTTTCTTGTATTTTTTTTCCTTTCTTTTTTTATTTTCCCTAAACTGTCAAATTTTTTGTACTCCTATCCTCATAGTGATGAATAGACTAATGAAATTTCTGATTTGTTTGGCAACAAGGCAATATAAAGCATCATTCCATTTCCTTATTTGACAGACGGAAGAGAAGAGAGAGAAAGATTGAGTGTGATGTTTCGTAGTTTATTTTTGTACAGCCTGATCCTGAGCTCTCAAGATGTTTCAGGAGCTTTGGGTTTTGAACGATGGTGGTTTTTCAAGATGTTCTACCATAATTGCATCTCATTTACTCCAGGTAGAACATGGAGATCTAAATGTTTATATTTAGTGAAATGCATTGTTAAACTAAAGAATAATAATATTTATATAATTCAAGATTATCTTTATTGGAAATAAAATAAGAAACTTTACATTCTACATTTTTTTTCACATTATTTATTACAATATCTCAGTTTTTATTTTTATGTAAAGTATTAACTTTAACATTTAAGGTTGAATTTAAGCAATTAATAAAATAAAATATTATTTTAAAATTATTTATCATAATTTTATAATTTTAATAAAATAAACATATATTTTAATAAAATTACTATTTTTATGCTTAAACTTAACCTAAATAATGATATTAATAATCCTTTTTTAATCTTTGAAGATATAAAAGTATGTTTGATGGAGTTTACAAACAGCATTTCCCTAAATTAAATTAAAATAGGTACTGATCATATTATAGGACAGTAGAGCTGATAGAATTTCTCGTTTCCCTAAGAAATAGAAATTTCAGTGAAGCATGAGATCCAAATTCCTAGTGTGAGTCAGTAACAAATTAGAAACCAAATGATAAAAAAAAAAAAAACAAACTTGCTTTTCTATTTTAAGAATTTTTTTAAAAAGTATGGAATAGAAATAAGTGCTTAAAATAAGATATTATCATTATTAAAAAAGTTCAATTGTTTATATTTTAACGAGTACCTTTGGAATCTTCATGAATTCGTACGTAATTTGTTTAATATATACATGAATGAACTGTTTTTCCTTTTATTACTGACCAGTGTTTAAATTAGCTTAATTTATGTTTAAAAAACGGACAACGGCTACAGATTAACTGTTTTTATAACATTAAGCTAAATCATAAAAAAATTTCTAGAATAATTTTTTCATAAAATAATATGATCACCCTTTATTTTCCCTTTTCCTTTTATTTTTTTACACTAAACTAATGATCCAGGGAATCTGTGAACTCAATGTAAATAAGTAAATAAATAAAGGATGTACATATATGATTTTCCTTTTTTTTTTTTTTTTCAAAAGCTAAGTAGGATTTTAGGGCTAAAACATTACATTACAGTGTCTTTTTTGGCTCTCCGAGTATGGAATAGTGGAAGCTGTAGTATTGAAGTTGAAGGAATAGTTTGCCGTGTAGTTCACGTAATAAGGTAACTATTGTGCTTGAAAGGTGGGATTCGAGTGGATGGTAACAGAAAGGAAGAGATGGGCCAGTGATGGATATTTGGTTGGATGATAACAGGCAATAATATCATAGAACCATATCCACCATTAACCTTTGTTTAACATGGTTGTGGACATCTTGGGTTTGGGCTTCAAATGAGAAAGGGCAGGTACGAAAAGACAGAAAGTTCAAGTCAAGTCTTCGTAGTGATGGGCCGCAAAAAAGAAAGACTTCAACACTTTCTATTGCACTCAACTTGTATGCTTCGCTTCTTCTTAAAATAGAAATTAAATAGAAAAGAAGAAGCTTCCTTTTTTTCTGGTGTAAGAAAGTCTCAAAAGTTCCCTTTGTCCTCCTCTAGCAAACAATTATTGAATCTAGTCATGCGACTATAGAATCAGAACCATCAATTCCATGTTAGGGAATGCCACCAAGTTACAAACGTTATTCCATGATTTTCTAGATAGTGAAATGATGGATTATATAAAAAGGGCTGAATTCATTCAACAACTCGGCAAATGTTCACCAAACATAAAAGGAGGGAAAACAGACAAAATTGCATAACATCAAAATTACAGTAACACAATATTCAAAGCGTGGGATGAATCAAAAGTGACTATTTTTGAGGTTTCTTCCACAAGACCCCAATCTTCTTGAGCATGTTGCCATTTTTCTTTCTCTGGAAATCATCATCAAGTTCTTCACAGAAGGGTGAGTACTTATCCATCAGAGAGTTATAGTTGTTGTCCAAAGACATAGACCTCTCAGTGAGTTTCCCATTGTTCCCAGCTGAAAGCATAGCAGCAGCAGCTTCTGCAGCCTTCCTCCACTGATCAGACTGAACCTTCAATTTTCTCAATTCAGCTTCTATTTCTGAATTTGCTGCTTGTGCTTCTTCAAGCTGTTCCGCCACCCTCGTTGCCTTCTTGTTGCACCTATCTGCATCCTCCATCACAATCCCAAGTTTCATTACAGCTTCACGTTCTGCAGCCTTAGCTGCCTCTAGTTCTGCATCCATTTCCTCACTCACTTTACCACCATGTGCAAACCTCTTGCTGATTTCCAACTTCAGCATTTCATTCTCTTCGGATATGCTTTGCAATGTTGTCTCTTTGTCCATCAGATCAGCCTTCAATTGAGCCACATATTCATCTAGTCTTTGAAGTTGCCTTTTAAGTTCAAGTTCTCTTTGGGATGACATGCTGTTTTGAAGCTGCAAGTTCAACTTCTCATTCTCCTCCACAATGCCTTGCAACTCGGTTTCCTTATCCATTAGGTTCGCTTTCAAGTCTTCAATTTCAGCTTTCTTTCTTTCCAATTCAGCCTCTAAATCAAGTTCTCTTTGACTTGAATCTGATTTTATCTTTTCTATCAACTCATTGGCATTCCTGATCTCCACTGAGCTTTGAATTTGTTCTTCCTGGTATTTAGTGTCAGCAGTCTCTATGACAGACTTCAAAGAATAAATTTCTGCTTCAATGTGATTATGATCCTCACCCTTTTCTAGTCTTTCAGCTTTCTGCTCCATTTTACCATCATCTGCAAGATTTGAAGAAAGGTTGTATTTGTTATTGATAAGGGGTAACTCTAGTTTGCTTACAAGTGCTTCTAGTGAGTTCACCCTTGCTCTAGATTGGTCTAATTCTAAAGCAGTAGAGTTGTATCCATGCACAGCTTTTGCAGCATCAGCCCTTAGGAATTCAACAGTTCTTTTTGCAGCCTCAAGTTGTCTCAAAGTCTCATTCACCAAAGCTTGAGCCTGAGCTGATTCCTTGCAATCCCTTAGCTGTGTTTTCATGTTCTCCACAAGAGAGAGAGATTCTGCTAAGTTATGCTTAAGGTTTTGAAGTTCCACGTCTGATGATTCAGCAATTTGGGTGTGTGCATTCTCACAATTAGCTACTAGTTCAAGTTGAACCTTGAGCTGCTGAATTTCATTGATGGCAGAGGTTAATGCAGCAGAGTTTTCTGACAGCTTCTTTCGGGCAGCCTCCAGCTCGGATTGCCATGCCTTATCGTGATCTTCTATGGTTTTCTGGAGCTCAATAACACGCGCTTCTTCAGTGGAAGAGAGCTTCAGAAGTTGCTCTTGAGAATCTTCAAGTTTCACAGACAAGGCAACTAGTTGCTCCTTGGACTCTTCAGCATCTTGCTGAGCTTGCTTCTTGCATGATTCAGATAAACTGAGTTGGTTCCTCACCACCTTCAAATCCTCTTTAAGCTGAGAAAGTTGAGATTCCAACTCAGATATTCTGCTAGGGCGTTTCCTCTAAAGCAACAGAAAAATATAATGGTTTAGAATTCTGGACAAAGAAGTATTGTATAATTGTTGTTGTGAGTTGTAGAAAAAAACACATCAGATTAGTGCTTCTTGCAACACGGATAGAAAAAACCCAAGCACAACAGAACACTAAAATAAGAGAAGTAAACAATAGAGGCTCAGAAGTGGATCAACCCAAGGTTTCACAGGTCTTGCATATACAATGCCATCACACATAAATAGAACCAATGATAAGTTAATAAATGGCAGTCGAGTAGCTTATTTTACCCGCTCTCTTTATTGATTAGAATACACCGAATGTTCAAGAACAGAATCCTTTAAAAAGACCCCTTTAATATATATCTAACTGCTAACGCGCTTTTGTACCAAAATTAATTGCTCACACTATTAGCCCCCCATAATTATCTTCTCATTAGCTAGATCAGTATATCATATAAAAATAACAATAACAATGTAAAATGAAATTAAAGCCAACTCTAACCCGTACATTAACTTTTCAAAAAGTAAGCCCTGAAAAAGAAAATCATAATAATATCCGACACTTTCGGCAAAAATCAAAAGCGCTATGATTTTTTTTCTTTTTAAGAAAGAAATTAAAAAAAAAAATTGGCTTGTTACCTTCTAAAAAAAGGCACTTTTTAAATAGGAAAAAAAAAAAAAAAAGCCTGTCCCAGTAATCACAATGATTCCTTTTGCCAAGGTTCCAACACATGCTATTTCTTATTGCTAGAAGACAAATGATAATATATAATAATAATAATAATAATAAATGTTACCTCCGGAGCTGGGCTTCTGGGTGATCTACGCTCAGCGACTTTGGGACTTCTATCCTTTGGTGTTTTATTAGCTTGGTTTAAGGAAGATGCAGAATCGGTGTCTAGTGTAGAAGGCCTGGGTTGGCGTCCTGCACGAGGAGGAACCTTCTGAGGCACCTCAGAGGAGCTAGTTCTGAAATCATAATATCATAGTTTTATGAATTATATTGATCATGTAAACAAAAGAAAAACTTAGGTATATGGGAACCCATATCTCTCAGTTCTAGCAATAAAGGCTTTTCCATTTAAAGCAAAAGCAATGTCTTTATTTCACTCCGAAACCTGAACTTGTTAACTCATTACAGAGATTCCTTTGCATGGTTCAGCATAGCGTTGATGCTCCGAACCGTTGGACAGATTTAAAATGGCAAAATGCAGATTAAATCGAAATTACAATTACTATTGGCGGAATGAGTAATTGAGTACTATAAATACGTGAGTAATAATACTCCCATAAGTTACAAGAAGTCGTGTCAAAAGTAACGTGAATTTCATTAAGCATGTAATTAATTCGACCTGCATATTATAACATTCTCTATGCCCATAGTTGTAAAATCAACGTTATGATCATTGATTTACAAGGTCATAAACATTGAAGTTTCGAAAATTGACCGAGACTGTTATTCTTTCAAAAGATATATCATCAACATTGTACAAATCAATGATAATTAGTGACGGTGTTATCTGATGCTATATTGCTCCGTCCGAAAAATATAATAATTGTTCTATAACATAACATTATAGCCATTTGAAAAGCAGCGAAATCTATTACCTTAGAACAACCAATCTGTTGTTCACACTTTTATTATTATAATTACAATAATAATTGAGAATAACTGCCTCAGGTCCCAATCTCCCATTCTGCAGTTAAAGCCGCTTACATAAAATGCATTTGAACAAGAAACTATTAGTCTTTTGAAGAAAAAAGAAAAGTTTAGGCTTTTCAAGGAAAAAGCTTACCGTCGATATTTTTTTCTCATATAGGAAAAATTAGGAAAAGCCCAGCAAAATTAACGGCACAAACTTGGTTTAGAGACGAAATTCCATGTAATGAAAAAATTAACCCCCCCAAAAAAAGTCAAGCATCATCATAATTTAAGATTCTCACTACCCGAATTCCAGAATGTTTCAACACCAATAGCTAATAATACCTTGATATGAAAATGGCATGAACTCAGTGAGAAACTTTGTAGAAACAAAGTTGAATCGAAAAGGCCAAATTGTGATGCGTTGACAAATATTTTCTTGCGCTATTGCTAACCGTGTGTAAACTTTAACTAGACCCCACTAATATTACAAAGTTGTATATACAGCTAATGCATTAAAGCTTTATATCTTTGAGCACAGTCTATTCGATCCATATATAGCAATGAACACGTGAATTTGAATCATGAGAAATACCACATCTATTAAGGTGAACATTCACAATCCCGCTGATTTAGCCTTTTCAAAGCATTTAAGCAATCATATATCAATTTGAACTAGGAAAGTACAATGTAACGTTTGAAACAGAGAAAGAAAAAAAAAAGTAATTGCCAAGCGTTTTCAAGATTACCTTGTCTTTGGGGTCTGCATGGTTTAAGTCCCTTGTATCCAGGAAAGTAAAACGAGTTAATAATTAGGACCTCTCTACTTGAATGCTCCTTGGCCCACAAGGACTATAACAGTTCAGAAAAATATCATTAACTGATGAGACAAGGGAATCCAATGTGAAGATGAACGAAGTTAGGGGGAAACATAAATTGGTTCATGCAGAATGTATGCGATCCTAATCATCCACTATCAAACCATAAATGCAGAAGAAATATTGCTGAAGCAATTTTCACGTCTCATTTCTAAAATTTCCTCGTTTATTCTTCTCTCTTCGACGCACAATTCAATAATAGATATCTAATATTCAAAACACCACTTAAAAAATATATATAAACAGGAAAAAATATGTACCTGCAACATGTCAGCTACACATTAGAAAAAAAAAAAGAAATTCTTTGAATAGACTCTTCAATATATTCTTTTCATTATATTTTTATTTCTTGTTAAATTAAGTGAGATTCACGTCATTTGTAATTTTTAATAAATTTTAATTAATAATGAATAGGGTGTTTGAAAAAGTGTATTAAAAATTATATTGTTAACAATTTTTATTTTAAATATATTAATATAAAAAATAATTACTTATTTTTTCAAAAAGAGACTTTTAAAAAAGTTCATCCAAACGCACAAATCTCATTTTGATTATGAAAAGAAATAGTTTGACATGAAAAACATGTTTACTCTAAAATGTCTTTTTATTAACTGATGCATTAGAATTTTTGGGCAAACAATTCCCAGATTGTATTTAAGAGGGACGTACAACTAAAGGACGAAATCACAGGGACGTCCAAATTACAAATTTACCCATACCGCTAGTAAAATCCCATGCATGTATCATGGGTATTTTTGTCATCCGCAAGTAAAAATTTCTTACCCTCCCATTTTGCCGTGAAAGAAGGGCTTTTGCCCCCCCCCCCCCCCCCAATTAGCTTATTGTTTACACAAACATAATGATTGTATAAAGGAGTGATTTTTTGTAATATAACTAGACAAATGTGTGGGATTTTCGTAGAAAAAGAAAAACCCCTGAAAATCGCGTTATGTAAGGACTTAAATTTACTTAGAACCAAGGAATCGAATCTAGAGCAAACGAGAAAGCATGGGCAACACCATTAAAAACTGCAACAAATGAGAGTGAAGGAAGCACTATTTAGAAAACTATTTATCTTAAATATTGATAAAGAGGAACAAACACGGAACTAACAAAGAAACAAAACAAGTACGTTATGGAATCGACCTTTCTTAAAATGTACTCCATTTGTTTTTCTAAAAGGTATACGTTAAAACATAAAGCTACAAAACCTTGCAGCTCCTGAACTTGATCCAAACAGAGAACCGCATTAATGTAAGTTATAATTTTAGCACAACTTTTCAATAATAAATAAATTATATAGCAGTTTAAAGTGAAAAAAAGCAGTCATAAAGAAACGCAATAAGCGCATAAAAAAGCATCATGGCATCATTTAGGATTAATAAAAAAACTTTTTTTCCTTCCTTAAATTAAAAAAAAAGAAAACAGATTTTCTGGGAAAAAAACCCCAACAAGAAGATGAGAAGGAGAGGACGAAATTCAAACCTCTAAGCTATATGGATCCTAATGAACCACACTTATCTTCTTTTCCATAATGTGCTGAAATGGTAATTATAATTAACCTGGACAACAAGTAAAGTAATATATTAGAAACATAATGTTTATGCACTTATGCTAACCTCTGCCAAATTTGATGCGTTTTCTTGAATCCAAAACGAGAATGCAGAACAAGAAATGACAAGGGGTGAGCCATACCCAGTGAACTTGAATGTACATATATATATAAACTCAAAGTAGAAGCTTCAATTCATGAGTTTTCTTGTGCTGTATGGGAGTGTGTGAAGGAGTAGAGAAACTACGCGAATTGGAGTGAGTGGGGGAAGAAGTGTTGAGTCCTTACTCCTTAGACATTTGTCCTTTCACAACGTTAATTGGTTTGAAGTAGAACCTTGCGTCCGCAGCTCTAGCTAGATTCGCACTAGGATTTTGACCCATGCGCACGATAGATATTTCCTTACATCTCCATTATTTAAATAATTATAAATTATTACATATTGTCGTCTTATGTATAGTTTTTTATTTTTTTCATATACGTCTCAAAAATATAAGAAAAATAACTAACAAAATCATTCCGGTTTTTTTAAAATTTCTTGCAATGTGATTGTTACCAAGTAAATACATTTCAATGCAACTCATGCATTATATAAAACAAAACAACAGTTTATAATTTATATATAAAATTTTTATTACTTATTAGTTATTATGCAAATGTTGATTTTTAATTGAAATATTAATGTAAATTTTGCAAATTACATGCTTTGCTTATCTTAAATTTTACAATTTTTTCTAAATTATATGTATTTTTTACTTGAAATAATCTTGTTCGAACTAAATTTAAATTTTATATATTAATATGAGTTTATGTAAGATATTAATTACAATAAATGGGAGTATAATAAGAAGTTAAGTAATGATATATAAAATTTAAATATTAATTAATTTTAAATTTATTATAAAATCTTAAACGTAAAAAGAAAAAGAGGGAATTGGTAGACATATATTTTTTTTATGTCAACAGGTAGACATATGTTTCATAGTCCTTTTCTTAAAAAATTTCACGGACCCACCAAAAAATTGTTATGCGGGTCATATGATGGTCTCTTTTTCTTATTGGGCTGCCCGGGTATCACTTGTTCTGTAGTCCAGTATAGACAAAGGAACATTCGTTTGCGAATTAGGAGTTTGTAGATTTTACTTTTCTAGAAGCATTTTAAGAAAATATATGTATGATATTTGAGAAAGGGATATATCAAAATTTTAGGTGCTGTTGATTGAAGATCTTTTAGAAATGGAACACGTAATTCAAATAGGTTCCTTGCACTTCAGCCATAATCGCAAGACTCTTATCAATTTATTCCATATTATCGCACTTCAGCCACTGTTCTGTCATTTGCATTATGCTAATGTTATACTATCTTTTTATAAGTTTTTAGCCATTCTCTTACTAATTTATAGAAAAACTATCAAATTAATAAAATATATACCTGAAGACATATACCAAACATCATTCTTTTTTCTGATAGATTAAAAATTACTAAAAATATTATGAGAAGATTTATAAGTATTCTTTACATTAATGCTTGCTCCTTTAAACCAGTCAAATAGAAACTATGAACACACTACTGATTAAAACAGTGGACAAAGGGTCTGGGAGGGTGATTCAGAACCGGGCTTACTTAGATTATTACCTTCAAGACCACTCGGATTGGTTTGAGGAATGTGTAGCCAGTGATAGCTATCAGGGGAAGATTAACTCTTGTATTAGAGACTCTACGGTTTGTAGTAAGCTTGGGAGAACATTGCGTGGGGTCCCCGAAACTGCTGAATAAATAAGAAGTCATAAATAATAATAATTGTAGTCATGTCATGTAACTTAAGTATAATTGTGTTTTGCATGTTGTAGTCTTTAAACTATAGTCATTCCAAGTGAATAATACTAATATTATTTGTTTTCAAAAAAGTTTAATTTGTATGCAAATATAAATGTTCTCAAATTTATTCATATTGTAACTAGCGATATTTAATGTTAATACACGTGGTCGATCAATGGGTTATGAGTTGAGCTGCTGATAACTCTTGTCTTTATGATGGCTCGACACATCACAATATTGGTAGTTGCTGTTACGTCTTGCTCGCAGATTTTCATCTTTTATAATGAATGGACAATTTTCTCAGTCTTATCATTATCCATCTTATTTTGCTTTATTTGGCAGATCAAGACACTGGCAATATTTTGGTCCTTGGGCTAGTGCTTGGTCCACACACATTGTAATCCATGCCCAATGCATTGGGCTACTAATCACAACAATAATAAGAATAAAAAACTTCTTAGCTTTTGATAGCATGCTGAAACATTTTTCCCATCTGGTTGCATTTATAATGGAAATAAAAACAATTCTAGCTTGATGGTAACGAGACACAGAGGATAAAGACATACATAAACCAAAATTTCATTTTATTATGAAATGCAAAGGAACAGAATGAAGTCGTATACAGTTGGTATACATTTTTAGAAAGGTCATATTTAATAACGCTAAATCAATGTATATATATCCAGAATCATTTAAACTCATATATAATATAAAGATACATGTATGTGACGTGATTTTTCGAACAAATCCGAAATATTTTCCCTTTGTGTTTGCAGTTTGGATGTTGCAAGTCCCCAACAGAGTGCGGTTTTATAATAGGTGGAGCAACGACCAACAACTGCTATATATGCTATATCCTGTGACTCTTGCAACTATTAAGAAGAGTTGGAGGAATGTCTCGGTGATTAATATTAGTGTGGTGCTCATCGTTGTGATTTGTCTACGTCATTGATTATGTGGCGTATAGGAACAACCGCAAGATGGATAACCACGAACCCTTGGGTGAAACAAAAGATGACAAAGGAACAACCTAGCTAGCTGCAACTGTTTTGGAATCCATGGGGTGTGTGTTGACTCATCTCAGGTTTTAAGAAGGATGTTACGTAACCTCATTGCCCTATGTTGCTCTCGTGCATTTGTATCGAAGACTTGGTTTGATCTTGAAGGGTTGGATGCATATTATTATGTTATCACTTTGGTTACACTAATACAACTTCAGTTCCTCCGAGGATAAAAACCACTTTGTCATTTGTTGAAATCTTAGCATGATACCTTTGTAAATTAGAAGACATTATTTTTTTTGGGTACTAATGATAGAAACTAATCTCTTTAGTCAAATTGAATTTTATTAACTTTAATAAAGTAAAGAATGATGCTATTCCATACCGAATATATATATGAATTGTAACGAACCAAAAAACTAATCAATTATGGGAAGAGAGATTTTTTGTATGTTTTTACAAACCGCATTTGAGAACAAACTGGAAGCATATTCTGTATTCATAAAAGCATTGTTATTTCCTACATTTATATTTGGTATGGATTATCAATGAAAGGAAAACAATCAAATTATGTAGGTGCTTCGAGTTAATGGCAAGAAAAAGAGAACTTATTTATCAACCACATATGAGAACTTGTTTGACACGATTTTGTATCCGTTTTGCAGAGCATTAATCCTTTTATATAGATAGCATTGCTATTTCATATAAATATACGAGTTATAGTGATAGGAAACCTGACCAATCAATTTTATATGACTCTGATTCATCAAACGGACCCTTGTGATTTTCGAAAGATATTTCACACCACACGTAACTTTTTTTGTTAAAAATAAAAATATTTGGACACTTGATTTATGTGGTTGCCGTATATGTCAATTGGATCCTATCTGAACATTCAACATCGGGCACGAGCCATTGGAGGGTTCTTGTTCCTCAACTACACGTGCTAATTAGGGTACTCAACTAAAAAGGAAAGTGTATCTGATAAAGATGAGGTCACTTAACTATTTATGAGAGTATAAAAGATAACAAAAATCAAATGAATATCTATATATATTTTTAAAGTTCATTTACATTAAAAAAAAACACAAATATAACATGTATTCATCTTTCCCAAAAAGAATATATGCTTTAAGATAAACAAAATATAAATTAAGCATATCTAGAAAACGAAAACATAATATACTCAATTATAACCCACACAGCTACAATTGCATTTGAAATTGGAGGTAATTACGTGCAACATCTCTTGTAAAATCTAATCAGAGTTATAATTAAAAACCTTATCATAAAAATGGAAAGAGAAAATGATAGATTTTGATATGAATAAACAATAAGAAATATTTCCATTCCAAATAAAAACATTGGCTAATAAAACAACATTTTCGTCATATAGTTCTTCCATCACCAACAGAACAGCACAGAAAAGTGAGAAGCGACGAGCGGTCCAAAACAAAAAAAAACCAAAAAGTAAATATAATTAATGGTTTGTGACTCTCCTTTTGTATCGATGCCAAGCTCAGAATTCTGACGGCGACGGAGAATCAGCTTCTCACCCATTAAAACGCATTTTCCCTTAGACACACACTAAACCCAAACAAACAAACCCTAAACCTACGCCTCCAACAATGCCTCATTGCATCTCTCATCTCCACAATCACAAACTCCCACTCTTCTCCTTCTCCAATTCGCGTTACCGTAACGGTCACCGAAACCGTATCTCCACACTCCTTTCTCCACTCACCCGAAACGACGCCGTTTCCACCACCTTCCGCACATGCCTAACCAAAACCTCACTCATTCGTTGTTCTCACAAACCTCTCTCCGCCGTCGCCAGCCCCGCCGTCGAAACTGCCACCAAAGTTGGCAAACGAACGGACATAAAGAAGATTCTCATTCTCGGCGCGGGACCTATTGTTATCGGTCAAGCGTGCGAGTTCGATTACTCTGGAACTCAAGCGTGCAAGGCTCTTAGAGAAGAAGGCTATGAAGTTATTCTCATTAACTCGAACCCTGCTACCATAATGACCGATCCAGAAATGGCTGACCGCACCTACATCACTCCCATGACTCCTGAATTGGTGGAGAAGGTTCTCGAATCTGAGCGACCCGACGCTCTGCTTCCCACCATGGGTGGCCAAACGGCGCTCAACCTCGCCGTCGCGCTCGCCGAGAGTGGGGCGCTTGATAAGTATGGTGTTGAACTCATCGGAGCTAAGCTCGATGCGATTAAGAAAGCGGAGGACAGGGAATTGTTCAAGCAGGCTATGAAGAACATAGGGATTAAGACTCCTCCTTCTGGCATTGGCACCTCGCTTGCTGAGTGCTTGAAAATTGCGAATGATATTGGTGAATATCCGTTGATTGTTAGGCCGGCGTTCACTCTCGGCGGCACCGGGGGCGGAATTGCGTATAACAGGGAGGATTTGGAGGAAATTTGCAAGGCAGGGCTTGCTGCTAGTTTGACTAGTCAGGTTTTGATTGAGAAGTCTTTGTTGGGATGGAAGGAGTATGAGCTTGAGGTTATGAGGGATTTGGCTGATAACGTTGTTATTATTTGTTCTATTGAGAATATTGATCCTATGGGGGTTCACACTGGGGATTCAATCACGGTTGCGCCGGCGCAGACTTTGACGGATAAGGAGTATCAGCGCCTCAGGGACTATTCCATTGCTATAATTAGGGAAATTGGAGTGGAGTGTGGGGGTTCCAATGTGCAGTTTGCTGTTAATCCGGAGAATGGCGAGGTGATGGTGATTGAGATGAATCCCAGAGTTTCGAGGTCTTCGGCTTTGGCTTCCAAGGCAACCGGATTTCCTATAGCGAAGATGGCAGCGAAGTTGTCTGTTGGTTATTCATTGGATCAAATCCCTAATGATATAACAAAGAAGACACCTGCTAGTTTTGAGCCCTCCATTGATTACGTGGTTACAAAGGTAAGCAACTTGGTTATCAATGATGCCATCGTATTATGTGATGTGAATGTGGTTTGGTAGAAAATTCAAAGCAGAGCAAGTATAAGTATTAATATTTATGCCATCTCGATGACAATGTATTCGATTGAACTGTTTAAATTTGCATTTACTTTTTCCTGTGGGTTTTTTGCGTTGCAGATTCCTCGGTTTGCATTTGAAAAGTTTCCTGGTTCTCAGCCAATATTGACAACACAGATGAAATCAGTTGGAGAGGCAATGGCAGTAGGGCGAACCTTCCAAGAGTCATTTCAGAAAGCAGTGCGCTCACTAGAGTATGGCTACTCTGGATGGGGGTGTGCTCAGGTGAAGGAGATGAACTATGACTGGGAGCAATTGAAGTACAGCCTCCGAGTTCCTAACCCAGAGCGCATCCATGCTATCTATGCTGCGATGAAGAGGGGGATGCAAATTGATGAGATCTTTGAGCTGAGTTATATTGACAAATGGTTTCTCACGCAGCTCAAGGAGCTGGTTGATGTGGAGAGTTTCTTGCTGTCTCATAATCTGTCTGACTTGACAGATACTGATTTCTATGAGGTGAAGAGAAGAGGATTTAGTGATAAACAGATAGCATTTGCAACTAAATCCACTGAGAAAGAAGTCCGAAGTAGGCGAATATCACTGGGCATTACTCCAGCATATAAACGGGTTGATACCTGTGCTGCAGAATTTGAAGCTAATACTCCTTACATGTATTCTTCTTATGATTTTGAGTGTGAATCGGCTCCCACCACGAGAAAGAAGGTTTTAATTTTAGGTGGAGGACCAAATAGAATCGGTCAAGGGATCGAGTTTGACTACTGTTGTTGTCATGCGTCCTTTGCTCTTCAGGTTCCTTTTCTTCTCTTTTGCATTAATTAGATTAGGTTCCAGATTTTTTCGATGTGGAAAGTTTTAAGTCGGGTGCAAATGCTGCATGATATCATACCAACTCTGATATTTTGTATCAGTTTGGTGTTTTTAGAATGATTAAATTGCCATGCTTTGGTTTGAATTTCAATATGATAGGAAACGGTTCGCACTCATCTTGAGATTTGGCCACCTATGGTTTTTTCGTTTTCAATTTTCCTGCTGCAGTTGCTACTATTGTTAACATGTCACCCTTATCTATTGCATTTGCAGGAAGCAGGATATGAAACAGTCATGGTGAACTCAAACCCCGAGACAGTCTCCACAGATTATGACACCAGTGATCGTCTATACTTTGAACCCTTGACTGTTGAAGATGTTTTGAACATTATTGATTTGGAAAGGCCTGATGGTATCATTGTACAATTTGGAGGTCAAACACCATTGAAGTTATCTCTCCCCCTACAACAATACCTAGATGAAAACAAGCCAGCATGTGCTAGTGGGTTTGGTCATGTATGCATATGGGGAACATCTCCTGATTCCATAGATATTGCCGAGGACAGAGAGAGGTTCAACGTGATGCTTCATAAACTAAAGATTGAACACCCAAAAGGAGGAATTGCTCGGAGTGAAACAGATGCACTTGCCATTGCAACAGAAATTGGATACCCAGTAGTTGTTCGCCCTTCTTATGTTCTGGGCGGTCGAGCAATGGAGATTGTATATAGTGACGATAAACTGGTGACTTACCTTGAAAATGCTGTTGAGGTGGATCCAGAGCGCCCTGTATTAATTGACAAGTATTTGTCTGATGCTTGTGAGATTGATGTTGATGCACTGGCTGACTCACAAGGCAATGTTGTAATTGGTGGAATAATGGAGCACATTGAGCAGGCTGGGATACATTCTGGTGACTCTGCCTGTTCTATTCCCACTAGAACTGTACCAACTTCTTGTTTGGAGACAATCAGATCATGGACGGAAAATTTGGCTAAAGAACTGAATGTTTGTGGGCTCATGAATTGTCAGTATGCAATAACTCCATCGGGGCAGGTATTTTTGCTTGAGGCCAATCCTCGAGCTTCTCGTACAGTTCCATTTGTATCGAAAGCAATTGGCCATCCCTTGGCTAAATATGCTTCCCTTGTCATGTCCGGAAAGTCTCTTCACGATATACAGTTTACAAAAGAGGTTATTCCTAAATATGTGTCAGTCAAGGAAGCAGTTCTTCCTTTTTCAAAGTTCCCAGGCTGCGATGTGTTTTTAAGTCCCGAGATGCGAAGTACTGGTGAGGTCATGGGTATTGACCCTTCTTATAACACTGCATTTGCCAAGGCTCAAATTGCTGCCGGCCAGAAGTTGCCACTTTCTGGTACCGTGTTCCTTAGCTTGAATGACTTAACCAAGCCTCACCTTGAGAAGATTGCAAAGGCTTTTATTGAGGTTGGATTTCAGATTGTTGCTACAAGTGGAACAGCTTATGTTCTTAACGTAGCTGAAATCCCAGCAGAGCGGGTGCTGAAGCTGCATGAAGGGAGGCCTCATGCTGGTGACATGATAGCCAATGGAGACATTCAGCTGATGGTGGTAACCAGTTCAGATGATGCACTTGATCGGATAGATGGTCTGGCCTTGAGGCGGATGGCTTTGGATTACAAGGTTCCTATTGTGACAACAGTTAATGGAGCTCTGGCAACTGCTGAAGCCATAAAGAGCTTGAAGGCCAACGCTATCAAAATGATCGCTCTTCAGGACTTCATTGATGATGAAGTTAAAGAATGAGAGAAATTTTGCAGACAACCTCTTTCTCTCTGAATTGGTCGGGGGATAGATACCCGTAAGCACCCGTGGTTTTTCTGTCTTTGGTATTGCTATTTTATGCTCTAGGTCTTTTTGCCTACCAAAACATCAATTCTTCCATTTTTTTTAAAAATTTGAGATAAATTATTGGACAGTATTTAGGATGTGTGGCATGATTTGAGATTAACACACATTGGATGGATAATTTTGGCATATGACATGAGCTTAAATAACCTTGTTAAAATACTTCCATACACAGCCCTAACGAACAACACTACAGAGAAATCGGAACTTGCATGCTTATAAGATTTACAATATTGAGTTATTAGTAACGATCGCTATTCTTGTATTTTCTTTAGAATGAAACCTTCATAAGTTGCATCATATTCGATCGTCTTGGATTCCTATCCTTCACCAAGCTTACCCGTATCTTCAAAGGTTTTGTATGTTGACTGTGCTTAAACTTGGGCTATTGCAGATTACCATGAGCTTGTACTACTTGCTAGATTTGGAAGAGGCAGGTAAATTTCTAAGGTATTCCTTCATTTGTAGAGTGAAAGAGACAACAAAAGATTTGAAAGGTCATGTAGTCTGAGTCCTGACTCCTGATGAAGCACTTGTGCTTTGTGTAAAAGTTTTTGTAGTACATTGGATTTCCACTGCTCAATAATTATTCTAGTTTATAAAATCTTGCAACTCGCACTTGATGCTACTACTCAGGCATTTCATTATTTGGCAATCGCTAACTGAACACCTTGGGTAGTAAAATTTTATGCTAATTATCTGCTTTAATAGTAAAATTATGTAAATAAAGTTTGTATTTTTTAAAATAAATTAAGGATTAAATATATTTTAGTTGCTTAAAAGGTTTTTTTTTTTTTTTGTAGCCAATTGGTTTTGGCTTTAGTGACTTTTAAAATGATTATTAACTCAAATATTGTCATATGTTAATTTTAGTGTTACATAATAATTTTTGTGAAATCACATGAAATGCAATAACTGCAACGTGGCTAACTGATAACATTCTACAGATTAATAGTATGTTTGGTTTCTTTGTTAATATGAACTTTTTAAGTACGCAAATGAAATATTAATAATCAGTTGTTTCTTGACAAATGAATGTTAAGTTCTATTCTAATAGAAAATCGAATATACATCTATTAACTGGAAATTGATTTCACATCCAGAGATCTTAAGTAATCTCATTCTACATTATGTCCTACTCAATATAAAATTACACGTTAATTGTTTATAATAATTATAATTACTATATAATCGTTTTTATTTATTAATGCTAGTTAATATTTCTGTACATATCATTTTCCTAGTATATTTACCGCTGTTAGAATGTGTATATATTTCACATATAACGTCGGGATGAAATATCATAAAGTGAAAATTTTAATAAAATTTTTAATAGAAGTGAATATTTTTTTTCTAGCTATTTCATTTAATTTTCGTATAAAGTATGCTTTTGTGTCATGTGTTTGTTTGTGTATATTTAATTATAACTTTTTAATTATATTTTATTGAAAAAATATTAGAATATTTATTGCTGTTCTACTGATGATTTAAATAAACATTAAATTTTTTATGAAAATAATTTAATATAGCAATGATGATTAAGATTTTCAATTTCGTTAACAAATATAAATTTTCTTTCTAGATGTCTAAATAAAACGTAAATAATATTAAAAATTTAAATGATATTACCTAGTTCTTATTTGATTTTACAAGTGATTTGTAAATATAATTCACATATTTTAGTTTTAATTGTATACACATATGATGAGAGGAGGAATTTTTATATTTAATTAAATATACACATATAACTCACATATATATTTTAGTTTTATTTAAATAATTAAATATATAAATTAAAAGAATCATCCAAAATTTTGATTTTAAATAATTCAATAATTTTTTCTTTATAAAAAATTTATTATATTTAAAATATAAAACTATACAGAATATAAGTTTATTTAAAATTATAATTTTTTAGTATTTTAAAATTTTCTATTTTTTGTTTGGTACCTTATTTTTTTTATATATATTTCTTATTAGAATATACGCTTAGTCTTTAATAATTATTTATAAATTAGTTTTTATTGTTAAAATTTATATTTTAATTTTTATATAAGTATCTTTTTTTACACTTTAGTCTCTCTCAATGTTGCTAAAAGGATTTTAAATAAAATACTAATCTAAAAATATTATATCAATTTCTATAAAAAAAAAAAACTCTAAATATACTCAATAATAATATCGTACTTGTAATAAGATAACATCAATATCGTCAACTTGATAAACTATTTTCATAAAATCTATCTAACAAAAATCCTTCAGTAGTTTTCTCTTCAAGTCAAAATCAAATTATTTAACATAGCAATAAGTTCCTTAAAACTATTATTGCAATTTCTAATATGATTATAAAGCCCTAAAGCCAATTAGTATAAGAGTCTTCAGTTAACCCACCAAAATTACTACATTAAAGAAAGAAAAAGGTTACCGAACTAGACAAAAATGTTAAAAACAAGTAAGACTCGAGTCATGGAAAAAACTCGTATAGTAAATGTTGAATTGCTTGAAAATAATCCAAATAAATTACAATTATGGAAGTGTGATATACACAGAAGTATTCATTACTTATTAACATTAAGCTTACCTAACCTGAATTAAAATTATTGAAATAACTAAATTTAATTTTAACTTAAACTTAATTATTTAACTGGATTATACCCGTAAAAACGGATTGTAAAAATAATGTAGATTCGAATGGTTGGTTGAACCGCAGAAGAAAACACTGACAAGAGTACAAGGACGCATGTCAAAAAGAAATTGTACGATCATTCAAATCATTTCTTCTATATGTTTCTTGAATTCTTGCAGGGCAGAACGTACAAAGTTATGATCACCAAAGCGGCTAAGGACCCCTCCCTTCAACTAACTACAAGATGGAGCCTTTTCTCTTTTTTTGGGTCCCCTCGTTCATTTTCATTCTACCAGTGATGCATCTCTTCATCATTCTATTTCTTATTTTTGCTGCCCAAAAAATGACACCTCTATCTTCAGTTTTTCACACCTTAGAAGTACCATATTAAGTAAAATAAAAGACTTGTTTGGTATTTAACTCACCATGAGATTTTTCCTACTAAATTAATTAGTCTTTCTGAGTCGGATTTTCATATCAGAAATGTTACATCCATAGCTAGACATGTATAATCAAAGTTTACCACAAAAATGTGTATAAAAATAGAAGCTTTACAATATGTCTAAAAAGGGTTTGTGTTAAAATGTCACATCCATAGCACATGCAATCCATAAAGAATGCATAGTGGAGCAGGACACTCTCGGAACTAACCTTCTGAAATTGCTTTGCGTCTACACTTTCCCCTGCTTCACGATGAATGTGAAAATATTTATTCATGTGGGAGGAAAAAACAAAATCAGTCATAGAAGTTTAATGGCCCAAAAACACAAGTCATAGTGGGAGTAAACCGTAAAGTGCAATTGGCTAATGTTTCTTCTCTCTAAGGTCCACACGCTCATGACTCTGCAATGCCAGAGATATTGCAAATGGGAAAGAAAAATGTTATAAATTACAAAAGTCCAATGTAACTAATTCCACCGCAAAGTTGATAGCTAAATCAAATTCTTTTTCTAACGTGTGGAAAACTTTACACTTTTAAGATAAGGTAGAACCCAAATCCTGAAAATAATATTAATTATTAGAACTCATTCAGCATTGTATAATGTGTACTAGAATAGAATATTCTGTCAGAGGCAGAAATTAACATTTTAAAAACTATATTCATCATAAATTGCCTTTTACATACAATTAGATAACGTTTGGAAAATTTCAGTTCAGTGACTCATTTACAAGGAGCTTAATTGATATACTTAACAAGATATATATAATAATGATTAATGACAACTTCAAGAAGAATACATAGAGCTTAATTTATTAATATTTCAATTCTTTCTTATTTTTTCATCGTTGGCCATATTGTGGGTGCGTGCGCTCACAATGATATGAAATTTAAATGATATGTATATCTACATGTCAATTACTCAAAAGTATGATGACAAAATAATATATGAATAAGGCTTTCTATTGAAGAGTTTTTAGACCTCTAACACAGTTAACAAAACTGAAAAAAAAAAATCTTCACTTCTACCTCATCATAATTAATTTAATGATTTTTTAAAGTTTTACCAATAATAAATATAAAAAAATTGCATCACACCATATAAAAAGAAAAAAATTATGTGGTCCTGCCTAACATTCTCCATAAAATGTAAATAACATTTAATTATAAATATATTATAAACTTAAGTTAAAATAAGTAAACATTTAAATAATTAAATGGTGTATAAGTGAGTTAATGTGTTTAAATTGTTAGATATATATTTTTTTAAAAATTAACAGTTTAAATTTTTTACCTTTACTTAATAATATCAGTATTTATATATTTATAATTTAATTTTCTGTAAAAAAAAATTTAAGTCTTCAAAATTTATTATTTTAGCTCTTTTTATGATTATATTGAGAGTCATTTTTTTAATATAAATTTTATATATATTTTGTATTTAGATGATAATTTTAATAATTAAAACTTTCATATGATGCATTTTCAATTTTATAACAAAAATAAATTTTGAGTTATTGAATTTTATAATAACTAACTTAAAAATTATATTTATTATATATTTTAATTAGTTAATAATATAAAAATATTTATTCTGATAATGTAACAAAAAATAAAACTCAATTAAAACTTTTTAATTTATTAACACCATTTTAAAGAAATGGAAATTTTAATGAACCACATGATAGAGGTGCAATGCAGGTTAGCATATTCTAACCTATTAAAAACTTGTTAAAAAGTAGTATGAGTCGTCCATTTTTTAAAATGAACTATATATTTTAGTATGATCTCTTTAATAGTGGGTTATTAAGCAAGTTGGTCAATTAAAGATTAATTTAAAAAAAAAACATGAAGTGAATTAGATCGTATAATTTGATTAAGGTGTGAAATGAATAATACGTGAAAATAGTAACATTATATATTTTAAGAAATACTAACAATAATGAACCAAATAAAGAAATAATTTTTTTTAAAAACTAAGAGCATGTTTATTTTTGTTTTTAAAATAGCTTTCTGATTTTAAAAATTAATTCTAATATAAATTTGTATTAAAATTAATTTTTAAAAACATAAAACTGTTTTAAAAACAGAAATCAAACATACCCTAAATATTTATTTAAACTTTTTTTTTTATCATTTAGTATTACTATTGTTGTCTTTATTTATTTTATTTAAACTTGTACACTTAATAATGGGAATTAATGACACAAAATCTATTAACAAATTAATATAAGTTTTTAAAAATTATTCAGTTTGAGAAAATATTTTTAAATTTTTTTTTTATGTTTCTAAAGAGTGAAAATAAAAAAAAACAATAATTTTTATAAATGTTTTAAAAAAATAAAGTTACAATAATTAAAAAAAAAAAAACTAAATAAGTCGTTAGGTATCAATTGCAACAATATATGGAATGAGTTATTCATCATATGATTTTAAAAGTTGCAATTTAATGGCAAAAGAATTTGATTATAGTTTCAGTTCATCTTTTTTTGTATGTTCCACGAGCCAAGCTGCCCTTCACCAACCTTGCCCCCACCTTGTTCTCGCGCACGCATGCTCACAGCACACAGCACACAGCACACAGCACACAGCACACACTAACATACCCATTCTTTTCTGCAATTATTCAGACACTTAGTTTTACAAATTCTTTGCAAATTAATAAATGAAACACATTGTCATTAGGTGTTAGCTAAGTAGGCAGCTACCCCAATTACTCACTTCAAACAAACCGTTCCCAACTGTTAATTCTATCCAAACCTATGCCACTTGTCACTACCACATTACATTAAGACAACTAGCAGTTTCCGCGTAGTCCATGCTTGCCACCAAGAATGCGGAACATTTATATGAATATGCAATTTGTATTTTATTATTTAAAGTGAATTTAGTATGCGTATGCAAAATTATTAAAATAACTTGGTAACCATGTTGTGGACTATGCTGATGTTGTCCTGATTTGTATTAACCGGAAATCCAGAACAAGTAGTCTAAGTCTGGAAGTAGAAACATAAAAGATGAGACTCGCAAGTACAAACACGCACATGCGAGTGCGCACACACTTGACAGAATGTGGTACCATTCTAGTTTCGTCATGCAATGCGACAATGAGAGTAACTAGGTAAAAGTTTAAGTCATCTGTTGTTAATTTTCAATGTATCTTATTAAAAAATTTTGACCAGTAAACCGAATATTTGTCCAAATGAGAACGTGTTATTTTTCTTCGACCCCTTAGACTGCTATACATTGTGTTGAATATTACGATGTGATTTAAGGGCAAGAGGGTAAAAATCATATACAAACAAAAGGGGATGGGTAATGGCTTAATGTCTAATCTACCCCATTTGTTTTGCAAGTATTGCTATTATCAGTTACTGCGTCCTTAAGCATGTTATTGAAGTTTGACTTTTTGGGTTTGAAGTACTATGACTCGGGTCCAGAAAAGCTGGAGGGTGAATTGGACATGCTATGCTGTTCATACATTTCTTTTTCTCACTGGCAAAAGTCACTTTACTAGGGCTATGCAAGTTAGCTAGGCATGACGTAAGGGTTTTATTTTTTAGTGATTATTACTATTACTAATAAGCAATTATTATAGACTAATATTGGAGAAGTTTAATCCTATAATGAAGGGGGAAAAATAGGGAAGGAACAAGGAGAATATTGAAAACGGTTTTGTCAAACTTGCCAAGAGTTTTCATACAATAAGCCAAAAGAAGCATCAAATCACAACACCTAACGATGAAATGGGAAAAGGAAGACAGAGGGCGCAGCCAGTTATGTAAAGAATTTCATACGCTCAACCTTTTCCTATAAAACCATGGTTTTGGCTTCCAAACAACCCCACACTTATCTCACAACCTTCTTCACCCCTTGTGTTCCTAAAATACACAAAATAGCATCCAAACACAAAACAACAAACTAAGGTTCATCTGAGAAAAATGGAGAGTGACTCAAACACCCCAACTTCCTCACCCACATTTTCTCATTCTTCTAATTCCCCGTCATCTTCACCTCCCCAAGTTGTTATGAGCCCTTGTGCTGCTTGCAAAATTCTGAGGCGAAGATGTGCTGAGAAATGTGTGTTGGCACCTTATTTCCCTCCCACTGAACCTGCCAAGTTTACCACTGCACACCGAGTCTTTGGTGCCAGCAACATCATCAAGTTCTTACAGGTAGTTATTTAGTTAGTTATGTACACTTAGCCAACAAAATCTCCAGATATCATCAGACAAAGTTAAGATATTATGCACATTTTCATCGCATACGTGACAATTTATTTCAATGACATCATGGTTATGCAAATGAAAAACAGACACTAACAATGATGGTAGTAAAATAGATTACCTATTTTTAATTGATCCCCTGAAACCTCAACAGGGACGAAGTGTACGGAGAATTTGATATAGCATATATTTGATATACAACTGAAACTTCATGTATTTCTAACATGATATACATTCACAAGTTATTTTACATGCTAAGATGGGAAAATTTCTACACAAATGCGAAGTGCTTGTCGTTTTGATTTGGTGAATCGGCCTAATCTAGCAGGCCCAATGGCCAATGTGACATTCCAATTCTTGGCGATATAATGTCTCAAATAAAATGCAATTTCAACGACTAAATTTTAACGAAATCTTGTGGTGGGCCTCTTAAATTCTAATAAGAAATCGATTAAATATTTCAAGACAACACACCTGACTGGTAGTTTTTACATACATAACCTTTAATAGTACGACCAACTAAAATACATTGAAGTATTCATTATTGAAGAACTTAATTGATCAAATTATTCTTTTTCTAGGAACTTCCGGAGTCTCAAAGAGCTGATGCAGTGGCTAGCATGGTTTACGAGGCTGGGGCAAGAATAAGAGACCCAGTATATGGATGTGCAGGTGCAATTTGCCAGCTGCAAAAGCAAGTCAATGAGCTTCAAGCACAATTAGCAAAGGCACAAGCTGAGCTTGTAAACATGCAATTCCAACAAGCCAACCTCGTGACTCTAATTTGCATGGAAATGGCACAAACTCCACAGGAATCACCACAACAATCAGTGAACAACTTCATTTCAAGTCCTTCCCACAGCACTGGCTATCAAAACAATCTTAACTTCTTAGAGGACACCACCAACCTAAACTCCATGTGGGAGCCTCTTTGGACATGAAGAATGAGAACCATTAATTACTTATGCAAGACATTCTCCTAAGGAGAAGTTCAAGGAATTAATCAAGAAGAACTAATAAATTATAACCGTAACTTTGATAGCTAGAACTTATGTAGTTAGGTTAATTCCCTCTCTATGACTAGGATTTTGGAGAAAATAATGTTATGTAACATGTTAAGTGGTTTTTCAAACCACGGTAATCGTTGCAATATTGAAGAAAGCAGGGGAAATGTTATGTTTAAATGTGTTTTTATGCGCTGATATGTTGAATCTTAAACACCTTTTTGGTCACCTACTATAATCATTATAAAATTTGATCCCTCATGAATGCTTAATTCCTAGTCATAATAACTTTTGACCTTGTGGCTTTGGATTCTTTATAGACCTTCTGGAACCAAATTTTCGTTTGTAGATGTATTGTCAATCAAAAGACAAATCTAGGCAATATCAAGATGGAAGACTGAACAACCAAGCATAGTTAATTAGGACTTAATGGAGATTAATAATAATACATGGAAGACGATTATCATAAATGGTAATTATTAATTAAGACCAATTTGTGACTTTTTTGTTACAATCCTTTTAAACATTTTTATTGTTGAATTTGGATTGAACTTGTGCTTCTATTTCAAGGCTCTAACCAAAAAAAAAAAAAACTAGGCTTTTTTATCCATCCTGTTTTAATTATCAACTTTACATGATCCGGGGGGCATGAGATGGACAAAATTTGGCACCTTTTAATTGAGAAATAAGATTCTTTACCCTTTTCTTTTTGAAGTGCACACTTCATTCTTTGATTAAACTGGCTTGATCGATAGAAACGATGTGGTGAGCATATGAATAAAATGAAGACAGAGGAACGTGACAGTGTGAAACAATAATCAAAACACCATTGGGGTTATGAACTTATGATGGCATGAGTATTCTTAAACGCGTTTTGGGGGGCAGTAATTGAAATCATGTGCTGCCCACGTGAGCTGATTCTAAAGCAACCCAACCATACAACGTCACTTGTCGGCAACTCATTGGTGATCCATCTTTCTCGTCATCGTAGACAAAAGCACCTTTTTCGCACCCAACATTATTTTTTGTGTGTGAAGAAGGGAAACACATTTGCTTTTTATTGACTCAAAATTGTAGCTTTCCACTGCCTACATTAAAAGCACATCTTAACAAGACTTGTACAGTGCAATCCGTTAATTAGTCAGTTTTGAATAGTTCACATCAAAATTGTTTCTATATCTCAAAGTCATTTCTTATTAAACATAGCGAAGAATAAATAATATATAAAGACAACACATAGACATCAAATTCCCAAATGGATGCTATATGTCAATGTGTGTATGGAATTGGAAGGCAGAGGATTTTCAATTTGAAGAAAATTAGTTTAGACACTAAAATTACTTTTTACTATTAATTAATAATCGGTTTAGTGTTTTCATTTTTCACTTTGTTTATTTTTTTCGTTTATTGTACACAATTTGTTGATATCATAATCATTGTCTCACAGTCTGGTAGGGTGTGATATATGTGTAGGAAAGAGAGAAAGTGTAAGAGAAATTAATCATATATAATTGTTGATGTCTTCTTATTCAATAGTTCTTTCTTTAGTCCAACCTTATCTTTTCATTGTTGTAGCTGAACCTCAAAGTCAAGATATATCAATTCAACATAGTACGCTTTAATTAACAAACTACATGCATGTTCCACTCTAGAATTATTAGTTAAGAAACCATATAATTAAAATTACCCTTTTAGTCATACATAAGTTAGTTATTCTACGTACCAAAATAAGTTATAGATATTTTATGTTTTTGTCAACGAAGCTAGCTTGAAATTTTAATCTATGGAACATGTTTAAATAATTGTTTATTTAAGCACTTGTATCTAAATTTAGAGTTAATTTGTTGAAAATGTATAGTATATATCATATAGTTTATGCGAAGATTCATTAATGAATCAAAGCTGCGGCCTTTCATTTATTTATTTATTTATTTCAAACCATTTCGGGTAACTGTTAAGTACATTCAGAAGAGGCATTTATTCAAAGTATATTTTTAAGAAGGCAGAACCACAAGAGAACATTTTCAATAGCCCAATGACACAATATTTGCTACTGAGCTAATATAATAATTATAAGAATGAACTTCATGAAGGGTGACTACCATACACAAGGTTTAAACTGGTATTAAGATTATTAGAATATGAAATTATCTAGGGATATATAGTTATTCCATTTATGTAAAAAGATATATTTCCAAAATATTTTTCAGAAATTAGAATAATAGAAGAATTCAGAACAATTAAGTACTACGGTGGGTTCTGATTAATGTACATCACAGTGGCATTAGGTTGAGTTATGTCTGAATGATGATCTCCCTATACTTAAAAGAAACCAAAGTTTGAAACTAACAAGACGACGAAAGTAGAATTATTTTGTTCACACGCGAATCAGAATCGATAAAAGAAATCAAAATCGCAAATTTCTACATTACAACAAAATATCTGAATTGTACCAAAAAGTAATCTTCATGATATTCACACAGAGGAGTTGGTGGTTGGAAGTGGGAACAAAGACAACATTCACATAATATCGTCTAGGTCCACTTTTGAGAAGTTTTTTGAACAAGTGTTTATAAACTAGGTACATATATTTTTTCATTAATTGAAATTGATTCATATATTTTTTTGTGTTGGAGAAGTTATCTTAGAGAGTTTTTTTAATATATAAATACATAAATTAATTTTAACTTACAAAATATTTATTCGTTCTATTTTCTTATTTTATTTTTATAAATTCTCATTAAAATGTTTATCCAAATTAAATTTTAGTTTCTTTGGCACTTTTCTTGTAGCCATTAGTTTTTCCATGAAAAATACTGTTTACAAATAAATGAATTTGATTATTATTTATGTCATGCAATTTTAGTTTGACTCTTGTATATAGAGGTTAATATATAGTTTTAAAAAAAGGAATAATTAGCATGTCAATAAGAAGTAAAAAGGCGTTGTGACGGATGTACACATATAAAAATTAAATTAAAATTATGTGACATATATAAGAAACATAAATATAATATTAATTTTTAAATGCTAAAATATGATATAACTACTTTCTCTCCTATTTCCTTCTAGGTCCAATGCATTTAGTTTTGGAACAATGATACATTAATAAGATATAATAGATAATGTGATTTTAAAAACTAAATACAGAAAATAATCTGAAAGTATAATAGTTGTTAGTTTTGGCCACAGATTTATATATCTATACCACCAACTTGTTTGCGTTAATGAATGTGCAGTCTTTTCACAAATCCGTTTTCATATGTGCATATATGGTTGATTATATAAACATTATAAAATGAAACCACACCACCATAAATAATGTTGACTCAATGTCACTAGTCGCGCACTGTACTATATACGTATTAGGGTCATTGATCTTTACAATGAATAAAGGGAAATTAAACAGTTTTTTTTAAATCTATTTTTAATTTATAAAAAATTATACATTTTTATTGAACAATTATTATTTCTCTTTCTTATTCAGTTAATGAAATCACAAGAAAACGACGTCGTTTTATATTGTTTGACCTATATTATATTTCTATGGCCCTAATGTTTTGTCCAGTGGGATGCGGGTTGAGAGAATTTATTCAGGGCTCTGAATTGTATTATTTTTGGTCAAGAGAACTCTAATATTTTGACTCTGTTTCTGTTGTCCCAAGTCACAGTTGAAATGATGGAAAACCAGTTTCTCCATTTTATGAACTTCAGATATTTACATGGTTGATGACAATAAATAAATAAATGTTTACATGTTTCTGTTTTATGGAGTGTGAAATAAATGAATTTACATTCATTTGAATATCAGGATAAATATATTTTTATTTGAATTCCTCTAAAATTTATCCTTTTTAAGTTTTAGTATCTATATTTTTGTTATTTTTTAGTCTTATTTATTAATAATCACTAAAGATAAAATAATTACTAATTTAAAAGAAATCCCAAATCAAATAAAAAAATTGAAACATAAAACATATTCAAGCTTAAACTATATATTTATATGGTTTCTTGAAGAAACCCAATTTGCTAAGTATGTATACATTAATTAATTATTGACTTGGAAAGTTAAATTAATGGTCCTTTTTTTTTTCTCTATATATCACATTCATTTATTGAGTGATATCCGGGGTTCAAACTATTTTATACGTTTGGTCTCATATTTTTAAATGATAACAAATATGCACTTATATACATACAAGTAATATCACATTACATTTGCATAGTTTCATTGTTTACCTAAAAATCAAATAAGCCTTCGTGATGATGAACTTGATCTGAATCTGTATTTATTAAAATTAACTCGTAAAATTCTATTAGTTTATGAAATTTGCTAGGTATATATTTAAAGTGGGTTGAATACACACAACAGTTCTTCCACTAAACGTGCAATATGCCATTTCTTTTCTTATTTTTGTTTTCCAAATTTGTCACGATGTGAATTTATTCCGTTCTATACCAATTCTCATTTTTATTTTTTCCATTCCTACTTTGTGTCAGACTTTGCCACCAGTCTTTAGTGATAAGTTTCTTTAATTTGTATTGTCTTATTTGTCATTAGTCTTTAGTAGTTTGTCTTTAACTTACCTCTTCGTAAACTTCTCCGATTCCTCCTTTTGAGCATTATCAGACATTTACTTTGAATGTTTACTCATTCGACTCTTCAAATAAACAAAGATTTTATAGAAAAATAAACGACAGAAATTAGACTAGGAATATTTTTTTTCTTTTTATAATAGTATTTCATTTAAGATATAAATTAAGGTTATTGTTGACGAATTCAAACTATTTCAGATACGTATTGTAATGATATTTTAAAACGAGCAACTTAGTAAACTTATTTGTTTCTTAGTTGGGCAAAAATAAAATAGAATACAATTAAAACACCTACTTTACGTGTCAAAAAATTTTTAGAGTCACATATTTTGACTAGGTCATGGATGGATTTGGGTGGGTTTTAGTTTGTTTTATTTTGAGTATAATGAACCGAAATTGGCAAAGACAATATCATAATACCCGTCTCAAGAAATGTTTTGGTTGGAAAATAAAAACATCTTGGGCCACTAAAAGACTTACCATATAAGGATAGTCTTACCTATTAAAGCCCATTTTCTTACAACTGGCTTGACACTACAGGAACAAAAGTACGGAAAAAAAAAAGCTTTTTCCTTGTCTTTTTTTTTTTTTAATTGTTCAGAACATTGTTTAGCAAAAAAATAATAATAAATTACTTTCACTATCTAGATGAAATCGAGAAATAGAACTATACACACTGTGGGAGCGATGAGGTAATCATTACTTGTTATATATAAGAGCATCAATGCATCATCTTGTGAATTTCTGAAATTGAATATCATTTTGAGCATACCTGCATTTGAAAAAGAAAAATATCCCAGCCAAAAATTTGAACTCCTGTTGTGAAGATAGGTAGCATACGTTAACAACTTATTGAATTAAGATCAATGAAAAGGGTTGCAAAAGAAATATAATTCAAAATCTTGTTTCTATCTCCCTAACTGATATCAAATAAGTGGACCTGTTTAATGTCTATTTGCAAAATAGACACAAATTTTAAATATAATACTGAAATGTTCAAGCCACCAGGAACACAGAAAAAGGTATAAAAAAAACATGTTTAGCTACAGTTTACATCATAATTCAATTGTTTTTCAGCTTCGAACACAAGAAATAAAAGAAAATTGTTGCAAAGGAGTAGGAGTCATATAAGGTGATATTAATGTTAAAGTAGAAATTTTCAAACACAGACTTTGTTCTAAATCGAAAATTTCTCTTGGGAGGAGCTCAATTAAGAAACATGTACACTTTATATAGCATATATATCCAAAAAATTCCTTGAGGTTATACATGGCCGACGCGTGTATCCCACAAGATTATCTGACTCCTCTTTATAAGCTCTTCCCATTGCTGATCATAACACAAGCAATCAAAAACAGCTAAGATTAGTGAAGTAATAGTAAGAAACTATGGGAAATAGAGGCACCCTTTTGGTGTTGCTCCTTGTTTTTTGCCATGGTGTGGCAATTACAATGGGGTTTTGGATGACAGAGGGGAAAGAGAGAGAAGAGAGATCTGCAAGGGCAGATAAAATGTTCATGATGCAGAAATCCAAGCGCGTAGCAAAGACTGATGCAGGTGAGATGCGAGTGCTAGAAAGCTATGGTGGTAGGATTTTGGAGAGGAGCTTTGAACATTGGTTTCATCACTATGGAACCAAGGTCCCTCTTCATTCCTCAGTATCTTGACTCTAGTTTGATCATATTCCTGCGTACAGGTATCATAATCTCTCTCCAACTCTTTGTCAGGTTTTTCATGCATTGGAAATCACAGGTGCACTTACCTAGAATTTCAAGAGTGCTATATATATTTGGTTTTTATTAAATAAGATAGCGAATGAAAATGCATGAAGTTGAACCTTGATGTCAAAGGATACGTAGGTAACTTTTGTGGCGTGCACAGAAGGGAATGAAACATTGTATTTTGTTATGTACGTCAATGTACCACTTCTCATGTTTTAGTCTTTTTTATTATGTGTCAAACAATAGAATTTGCTTATTATGTTACATTTTATTTAACCCGTGTATTATGGCCCCACTTGGGATTTTATAGTTAACTTGGAAATGGTTTCAGGAGAAGCAAAGTTGGGATTCATATACAAAGATGAACTAGCGGAAAGGCATTTGAAGACGGGGGATGTGTATCAAATTCCAGCTGGTTCTGCATTCTATTTGGTGAATATTGAAGAGAGTCAAAGACTTCACATTATCTGCAGCATTGACCCCTCAGAGAGTTTGGGAATTGATATTTTCCAGGTACATATATCCATCCATTTTAATAACTTAGTAGTTCTTTATAGTTTTGAGAAATCATGTTACACACTTTACTAGAGATAATAATTGTCCTAGGTCTAACATTTTTCAATGTTTTGTAGTCCTTCTATATTGGAGGAGGAGCCAATCCAGCATCGGTACTTTCTGGATTCGAGCCTGAAATCCTTGAAGCTGCTTTTAACGTAAGTTAATAATTAACTTTATTATATAACAACATGGAGAACCAAGTCACCAAATATACTCACAAAACACTAATTAACCAAAGTTTTGTATAAACTAACCCAGGTATCAGGAGCAGATTTGAGAAGACTCCTTAGTAAGCAACATGAAGGCCCAATTGTGCATGTGGGCGATTCACATGCCACAAGCATATGGACCAAGTTCCTTCAACTTAAGGAGGAAGAAAAACTGCAACACCTGAGGAACATGGTGCAAGAACTAGAAGAAGAAAGTGATGAAGAAGAGCAGCAAACAAGTTTTTCATGGAGGAAGCTCTTGGAATCTGTATTTGGTGATGAGAACAAGAACACAAGGGATTATTCTCGTAAATCCCCTCACTCTTGCAACCTCTATGATAGAAAACCAGATTTCATGAACAACTATGGTTGGAGCGTTGCTATAGATGGCTATGATTATTCTCCACTCAAAAGTTCTGGCGTTGGCATTTATCACGTCAATCTCACAGCGGTATGCAAGCAAAGTATTCAATATTTTGATCTTATATATTATTCTTAAATGCACAGTATATTTTAGTAGATTAAGTACAAAATAATAATTACTAATCACATTTCATCAAAATCTTAACATTCATTTTCAAATTAACAATTATAAATGTATTTAATTTTATGCTCCAAAGTACACATGGATGCATCATTATATTTGGCTATAAATTTGATCTTACAAAGTGTCATTAATTTTTTTTGCATTGACTGTATGGTAGGGATCTATGATGTCACCCCATGTGAATCCAAGGGCAACCGAGTATGGCATAGTGTTGAAAGGGTCAGGTAGAATCCAAATTGTGTTTCCAAATGGAAGCAATGCAATGGACACCCACGTCAAAGAAGGAGATGTGTTCTTTATCCCAAGGTACTTTGCGTTCTGCCAAATAGCATCAAGGAATGAACCATTAGAGTTCTTTGGGTTCACCACCTCAGCTCAAAGGAACAAGCCATACTTTTTGGTTGGTGCCACGTCACTTATGAGGACCATGATGGGGCCTGAGCTTGCAGCTGCATTTGGGGTGAGTGAGGACACCATAGATCGTGTGGCTAAGGCCCAACATGAAGCTGTTATTCTACCCACTCCATGGGCAGCACATGAACACCAAAATAGGGAGAAGGTGGATACGCTTCCAAAGCTTATTAGGAATAAGATGATTATGGGTTTTTGATTTTTGATCATTATTCATGAGTTGTATTGAGTAATGAATAAAATCACTTGCTTTCATTCTATCCATTCACGTATGTCCGGTTTCTCCTTTGACTGTTGAAACACTTACTCTCATAGAATTATCTTCTCACCACTTTACTTAGCATTACCCTTTTTTTTTTGTTATGATTTGTCGATTGTATAAGGAAAAATTTTGAACATGAAGTTCCTAGAAGTTCTTTATTCTTAAAATAACTTATATTAACTAAAACAGTTTAAAATGAATATTATTGAAGAGTCCAACTTATTACATGATCTAGCTTTTTCACTCGCAATAACCAACATTTGTATATTTCAATAAGAAAAATGTTAAAAGATACAAAACACTTGATTTGTTAGGAATCATTTGCAACATCTTTTATTAAAATATGTTCATATATCAAATAACATTGGTGCTCGACGACAATAATGAATAATGTTACGAAAGTCACATTTCGAAACTTGATTCACAAAATCTGGCTGAATTTTGTTCAAACGTTTAGTTTTATTTAACTTTCTTACATTTCTTTACATTGTATCCCATATACGAAGGAATTTTTGATTTAGCGTGAAATTTTCACTATAAAAACCATATACCATCAGAGAACAATATGGGTGTAGAGTCTTTTTTATTTTTAGAAACCTTATATACTCTCACTTTCATAAGATATTATTATTTTTATAATATAAAATATAAAAACATAATACAAATCTATTTATATTATCTCATTTACTAAAAAGTATTTAAAAATAAAAATTATTATCCATTTTTAAAATGATCACTTATTTAAAGTAAATTTAAATATGAAAACTGATTATTATTTTTAAAAATATATAATTGCAAAAATTTAAATTATGATCGAATCATTTAACATCATTTTATATTTATCAATTAAGAGTTGATTTTTACAGAAAGATCATACGAAACAAAAATAAACAAAAACTGTATAACAATAACCGCCCTGATTTCCGTTAAACCATTTATGTTTATTATTTTTCTAATTTAATAATAGACCAATGATAATAATAAAAATCACACGGTTTTGTTGAAATTTTATTAAATACTTTTCATTGAATAAGTTAAGTTATCAGTTTTTATTATTTTTAAATTAATTTTGTCAAATACACCAAATGTTAATTTAATGGGTAACGAGCAAAGCAAACAAGGTATATATCTCACGCGCAAAGCACGTGCCCCTGAAATCTGCAAACAAAAATTGGTTGCGGCAGAGGGAAAGGTTTAGATCAGCCATGACCATGAGAACTCACTCTCTTCTCCTTCTTCCGCATGCAACCATAACAGTAACATTAACATTTCTCATTCTCCTCTCCTTATCTATTCCCACCCAATCTGAGGTTATAACGTTAACTTCTGACACATTTACTGATAAGGTACATCATCTTCTCTCTTTCCTTCGTTTCTTACTTTTTCTCTCAATCAACATTCCACTTTTCTTCCCTTACTATGCCTCAATTTGCAAACCCCACTTTTTTTTTTTACTTAATTATGCACTATTGAAACCCTATTGGATTTTCTGTTTTGTCAAAAATAAAATAAAATCGATCGAGGGTTTTTTAATTTTTTAAAATCCCAATAATATTCTATCGAAGTTAATTGAAGGTTGCTTCTAGATGCAGATAGGGATATGTATAATTTAATTAGGGTTTTGTATGTGTTTAGGAGTTTATGGGGAAAGTTTTTTTTGTACAAAAAAAACACTGTTATAGAAATGTATCTCGCTCATTAATTTTGCTATGGTCTCGATTCTCAATTACATTTTTTTGGTGATGTCTAGGTCAAGGAGAAAGACACTGCATGGTTTGTGAAATTCTGCGTGCCCTGGTGCAAGCATTGGTGATTATTTCTTTTATGCACTTTGCAATAACCTAAACTTGATGCTGAACCAGTTTTTGTTTTTCATTACTGTTTGCTAACTTGTGAAGTAATAATAATGGTTGCCAGTAAGAACTTGGGTTCACTGTGGGATGATTTGGGGAAGGCAATTGAAGGAGAAGATGAAATAGAGGTTGGAGAAGTGGATTGTGGCACGGATAAGTCAGTCTGCAGCAAAGTTGATATTCATTCATATCCTACCTTTAAGGTTTTCTATGATGGTGAAGAGGTTGCCAGATATCAAGGTTAGAATTTTTCCCATCAGCAAAAGATGGTCATAATGGATTCTGCTCAATCCCCTGTATTCTTCAACTTAATTCACATGCCCAAGCTTAACCCTTCTCTTTTAATAAGCAATTATGACTTTTGAACATTCATGTTTGCTTTTTTATATTCCTTGATTTCTGCTTAATAACTTATCTTGGATTAGGACAAAAAAAAAAAATAGAATGTGGAAATTTAAGTAAAAAATTAGGTGATTGTGATGGCTTTAACCGCTAACCCTCACACATACTTTCTGCTGATGAATGAAGGTTCAAGATGGCACTTTTCAGTTGTGTTAAATAATGATGATGATCAAATGTAGCAGTAACATAGGGTAGCAAGTATCCTCATAACAGGTGTATCCACATGCCCTACTACAAAGTTCAGCGATTCAAAGCTTTTTTATAGTTAAATTTTTCCATTGCATTTAACAGTCATTCAAGTCTTGGGTACTTGAAGGGACAGACTTCTGCAAGTGTGAACTACCTGTTAGGAATGGATTTTAGATTTTTATGATTTTTTCCCATTTTATTTAATCATCCCTGAAGGAAGAGATATTTTCTCTAATTTTAAGGAGAAACAAATTGTGGTATTTTTATCGTAGATTATTTTATGGCTTATTTATTTTAGTTTTATATGATTTACTTAGAGGATGCTTGTAATTGTAATAGCTACCTCCCTTTTCCCAACCAAAGCTAGGGCAAGCAGTGGTAGATCATAAATCTAATGTTATTTTTGCATGTGGTGCAAATGGTTAGGTTCAAGGGATGTCGAATCAATGAAAACCTTTGTTGTGGAAGAAGCTGAAAAGGCAGCAGCAAAAGCACAACTTGACAGCGATAAAGAATTATAACAACTTTTCAGGTATACTAGGAAGACACCTGCCTCCTTGGATTTATTTTTCTATTCTCTCTGTGGAGGCTTGTAATAATATTTGGCATTCTGTGATGTTTATTTTTGGGAGAATTGCAACTTAGGATATTCTAGTGAACAAATTACCAATTTAGAATGAATTAACTAAAAGAATGGTTAATTAAATCTACACATGAACTGTTTCACCATTCTTTTGGATAATCATCTTAAATTTGAAATATATGTGCCTCCACATTCTAAATCACAAGTCTCCCTTTAATTTTTCATATAATAAATTAACTATACGATTATGTGATATGCCAATTAATTGATTATAGTGTCTTCCCGTGCAGTCATTATCTGATTTGCAACTAGCTCTTCACTGCAGGCAGTGCACATCCCAGACTAGTAATTACCTTTGGGTTCAGGCTGAGACATGCATTCTGCACCGTTACTGATCAGCATTTGTTTGTTTGACTTAGCAGTTGTGAATTAAGAACTAATTTTGTACACTACTACATTTTGTTTCTTTTATACTCTACAAAACTGTTTTTTATTTTTGGTTTAAGTATACTCTGCATAATTGATAGGGGCTTGGCAACGTTAAAGCTTCAATACAATGATCTGTGATCTTTAATCAGGAATCTTGCTTCAGGATTTGTCCTTTTATCATCGAATGTTCCATTTTTTAGTGGGATTATTATACCATGCTGTGATGATCTCTTGTGCAAAAAAAAAAACACATATGTTGATAGCCGGTGCATACAGTGGTATCAATGGTTTAGAATTACTCAATGGATTTGCAGTATAACCTTCAAAAGCACGTTATTTCCATCTACTTCAAGTAGAACAGGGAAGCCAGGGTTTCTTTTTCATATAAATGAGGGTTATTTTACACTAAGCTACACGATTTAGCAAGTTTATGAAGTTGGATGATTTTGAACAGTAAGAAAAGTGTTCTAAAAATAACCGGGATTCCTTGCATTGATAAATTATCCATCCGAATGACATGATGTGCCATTGGTTTGGGATAGATTCCAAATAGGGAAAAATATAAGTTATAAGAACAGAGCTTGGTGGGTTTGGAGCTAACAAGGCGTGTGAAAATGGAAGAGAGAGAATCTCTTAATTCATGTGGCTTGGCGATAAATAGATGTGACGATCATGGCTCTGGCAGAGGAATAATCATGGACAAACCTCAAGATGCTCTTTATTGGGCTAATCATGGAGTGTGTGTTTTTTTGTTGGCCTCGTGTCTTGAAGAATAAAGTGGTTTAGTTTTTACAGTGTTTTTGGGTGAGGACAGGGTTTTTTTTGTCAAAATAAGGTACAATAAAAAAAATACAAAATGGTACATTTACAAAACATTTTTTTTATCTGAAACTTATTTTTTTAATAGTGTTGTCAACAAAATAAGTGTTATCCGTAAAACTTTGATACTCATTTTTTTATTATTAAAAAATTGAAGTTGATCAAATTTATTTTGTAAAGTTGGTGCATCGTTTGTATTCATAGATTGATCCAGCACTCAACCTTGATCATGTCCCTCACATGCTGAAGAAGTGCCTTGATGCTAATACTGACCCAAAGGCCGTGCGTAAGAAATGACTGTGGCACGCCCATGATTCTAAATAACACCTATTGCATGAATATCTTGGACAACAAGCCCGTGATTCTAAATAACACCTATTGCACGAATATCTTGGACAATAAGGGTCTTTTGATAGTAGCTTACCAAGACCAAGCTTTGTATGAAGAAAATGGCTTAGAGCAAGGAGTTTTCTAGAACTATTACCCTGTCTCAGAAAACAATCTATTTAGCTGACATCAAAGGTGAGATCGGATATGGTATGCAATATTGTCGACAAACATCACGAAGAGCCTTCACACAATGGCTGGATCAATTTTAATTTTTTAATAATAAAAAATAGTCAATGGACGACACTTAAAAATTGATAATTAAAGTGACGTAAAAAAATATCTCAAAAAAAAAAAAAAAAAGAGGACAGGACTAAAGGCATTAGCTGTCTGTGCTCGAGATGTCGTTTTCATCATCATGATTGAGGCGACACAAATTGCTTTGCATATGACAGGTTGTGAAACCAAAGTGAGTTCGGGTTTCTTAACAAATAAAAACAGCTTTTTTAGTATAAGTATTTAAGGGAAAGGAATGAAGCAATTGAGTTTTGGGCACCGTACAATTCTAAGTGTCCCATAGTTTGGGTGTCTTTTGATATAAATGTTCATCTTATAATAACTGTCGTGACTCTCATTTCAAGGTATAAAATGCCTTCAGAATATTCCTAATCTATATTACTTTGCCCCTTTTCAAATAAAAGTTCCTGCACTCAAGAAGTCACCTCATTTCAAGGCATAAAATAGCTTGATAGCATTCCCTAGTCAAAGTCTATCAAGCAACCAAATCAGTGCTCCCACACTCAAGAAGCTCTCTCTTTAATTTTGGGCTTCTCACTCACTGTACTGTTTGTTAGAAAATATAATAAAAAATTATTTAAATATAAATTTAAAGTAAAATTAATAACTAATAACGATAAAGGAAACATGTATTTATTACCATTAAATCGTGAATTTTAAATACGCTTACAGTAAATTAGCTCGTGAAGCATTTCATCTTAATTTCGATGAGAACAAAACTTAGGTATGCTGGTTTAAATATTTTCGGTGTTATTTCTAAATTAAAATTAGAGTTCTTTTTTATAATTTATGGTAATATTAAAAAATTATTAAAATAAAAGTTTGATTTTAATAAAGATATAGAAAAAAATAATTTTAAAAACAGCACATGTTTAATTTCTGAACAATGATTACTTTGTTTCACTCAGAATTATAATTTACTTGTGTCCCAATAAGGCATTTTACAGCACTACTAATCTATCTATCTATCGTAAAGCATACACGTATCCAACTGCTATTCATAGATTTGTGTGCACTAATATATCAACTCCAAACATGTTGTGCTTTTGAGGACATTTGTCCCTATTGAAAAGTTCAAATATTTGTCCTCTTCAATTTAGACTTTTCCAACTGTCTTCACAGTGGGGATATGTTAACTTCAGAAGTCATTGTTAACTACTTGATTATCGTCATCTTGAGCACTTCGCTCAGCTCGTCGGTGCTAAGATACTGTATATAAAATTTTAGTGTTAATAACTATTTCTTTAGTTAGTCACTGTATAATAATAGTTAATTGTTCTTTGACTGAAGTTTATCTGTTTGTTGGAAATTGATCACCTCAGATGACAAGCTAAAAAATTCTGACCTCAAAATATTTGTATTTTGATTTTAACAAAAAAAGTATTAGAGTTGTCTGATACAAAAAATATCAAGTCTGCAGAGTTTATATTATATAGTGAGACAACACTGGTATGCATTTTTCTCCCTTAACTCCCACACAGAAGCAAAGTAGAAGAGGAAGATTTACACTCAAATGAACTTAATACGGATCCTAAATTGACACATCTGATACACGTTTAGGTGATGACCTCTTATAGCAAAATCTAACAATATAATAATTTATTTTTAGAAAAATAATGACTAAGAATGCTAGGTAACGGCAAGACTTCTAATGCCAACGAAAAAGTAAAAAACCTACCAAATTCTTGCTTTTTACTTCTATATAAATAATGGGTGCAATCTTCTCATGGTGTGTACCATGATATTAGCAGAGCAAAGTAGCTTAAACGTTCCAATAGAATAGGTTTTCAAAAATTGCTGCACTTTCCTTCCATGCAGTCTAAGCACAGCTACTGTAGGCTTATATATTTTAAAAAGCTTGATTTAATCATCTTTTACTCACAAACAAAGTGCAATTAAAGCTGGAAACATGTCCAATTGTTCTTTCTCTTTTATTTTTCAACAGAACTCTCACCTAATTGGTTGATATCTTTGCATCTTTGTTTTTCACTTTTATGCAATTCTGAAATCTTTCCTGTTTCCCACTATTTCCATGTAACTTGGAGCTTGTTTTCACTTTAATTCATGAGCCAGTGATCTTTGCAGAACAGCAGAAGACATCAGGACACTTGAACTTGAAATCACCGTTTTAAGTATCACCCCATCAAACAAACTGAAGATATCCGTTAGCCTGTTAAATTCAAAACCTCAAACTGCTTTCATGAGAAAACTAATAAGAGATTCATTCTCAAGCTTTTCTTAATACCAAATAAGACAACATAATAGTCACAATAACTTCTACAAAGTCTTATCTCATAAAGTCATTTACATAAATTATACAATACTATTAAGCTCGATCAAAATCGAAAGACAACATAATATTCATGTGCTTAAAAAAGTGGAAGCAGTTGAAAAATAAAGGGACAAATCTAGGTACTTTCAATCAAAAACCATAGAGGGCTTAGCATAAATACATACATACAGTCTCTTTGGAAACACATATTAAAAGATTAGTCTTCCATGATAAATATGAGATTCCTGCAAAAGGAAATACTACTGTAGAATTATCAACTTAACAAGGGAAATCTCAAAGCAAACAAGACCACTTACCTTGGCTTCCATGTTGCTTCTCTTAGCCATTTGAAAACAGTATTTCATTTTGCATATGCAAGGTTTACGTTGCAGGAGATATGATGCTAGCAGATCTTGCTCTTACCGAGCCAAGGAAGCTAGGAAGGATGTAAGCAGATGGCGCCATATCTCCTGCGTAGCAAACCTTTCAATGCCATAACCACTTCTCCAATCTTCATCACTATTTCTTGTGTTCTAAAGCAGGAGGCCAAGCAATAATATATAGACCAAATTTTTTACAATTTTTCATTTGCTTATCCAAACTAGCATCCCACTAGGACTATCACTGCTTGGTACTAAATTCTAACCACAAAGTGCATACCCATTTGCTGCATCATTATTGTTTGTACGTGCTTTTCTTAACTATGTGGTCCGGGTTCATAGAATTGGCCTAGTACAGAAATATAAAAGCGATGTTCGATTGATGTAGTAGACCTCTATAGTAACAGAAAAGAAGTCTACAATTGCTTTGTTGTTGTTGCTGTCATGGGGTCTGGATTCCAAAATACTTCAAATAAGTGCCAACTATGATGAGGTCAGGGTTCAAACGTCACCTGTTGCCACATCAACGTCCACAAAAAGCTGCTACATTGCTGCCACTATGCTCTTGTTGACGCGTCTTCATGGTATATTTGTAAAATAATGTTTACACTTTACCGAGCCTTTCATTTTCATCTAGATGGCTTCTAGTGGATTCATGCAATTGCAATGACATTCTGATTTTGGTTGTAAACTTGATAAGGAAAATGTAAAGAGCATGTGTTAGTATTATCTAAAGACATATATTCTATATACTTACCATTACATTGCATATTTGAACAATTTTTTCTGGACAAAACTGTTACTACTGTTATTAAGTCAAAGTTGAAGTTTTACTTTATTAATATATATTGACATTAACACTTTGTTTTTAGTGAAATAAAATGGACTGAAATGATTAAATTCAACGCATTTACTTAGTTTGGATAGGCTGAAATTTGAACATGAAATTGCTGCTATTTCTACAGGATCCACGAATACCATTTTTCATCCTTCCAGCCAAGAAATGCAATGGAATACAGTAATGAAATTTTTTATTTTTATTTAAATTTAGATAGTAAGGTCAATATAGCCAAAAAAATTATAAAAAAATAATTACTATTTTTCTATTAAGATAAAAATAAAAAATAAAAAAATTCAATTTTTAATTAAATTAAATTATTTCTAAAATACTACAAGAAATTATATCATCTGTTTTTTTATTCTCATTTCCACCTATTCAAACATTTAATTGTTTTTTACTTTCTTTCTATTCCTATTCATCCAAATAATACATCATTCTCATTTTATTTTCTTGTTATTTACATATTTCTTATTTCATTCTTCCCTATTTTATTTCTCAACTAAACATGCATATGAACATTAAAAGTCAACACATATTATCGAAATAAAATTTAACTCTGATTGAAAACAACATTAATAAGGATTGCACCTAAGTTTTCTATTGTAATATTTCTTCAGTTTCTTCCCCCAAATAAGGCCTTTTTGTTTAAATAGAGACACCCAGATATTGTTCCATGGGCTCCTCAAATTCCTTTTAAACAGAGTGTAAAAAGGGAAGGTAGAATTGATTTGCATTTACGCGGCCACACATATATTAAAAGAAGTACATCTAGCAGGTGTGTGCACATTGATCATTTTGTATGGTCTTCTGCTTTAGAATCCACCAAGATATATGCTACTTCCTCCCTCCGGTCCTTTTTATAAAAAAACTAGAATGAAGAATTAAAATAGATTGCTTTGGCACCCCTTTGCTATCTAGAATTATCCCAGTGGTCCTGTGGAATAACACCAGAATGAAAATAAAAGCAACATTAATAATGGTTAGTTGGCAGTTCCAACCCATTTATACAAGTAGCCATGTAATTTCATAATCATAGAATTAATGAGCAAAATTTTAAAAATATAGAGGGAGCCAAGCCAACACCATTTGTGTCTAATTAAAGTTTTGTTTTCACAATCACAGATATTTAAAGTCAAGCATAGCTTCTCACAAGAGAAGCAACATGTATCAAGAAAGAAAGGTCCAAGAAGACCGTATAAAATAATGCCATCAATGCACAGTTTTCGTGTTGAGATTCTTTTAGAAATTAATATTTTGCTTAAAAATATTAATATAATTGACATTTGCGGATTTAGAGACTGAAGTAGAATTTGGATCCGAATTCAATGCAGCAACTGCGCCATTCCGTTACCTGATTTTGTATTTTCGCTTAAGTTTACATTTTTTGGTTTAAATAAAAATGTAAAATTTTACTTAAATGCATGGCGCAGTTTTTGCATCGACTGCATCGAATCTTGATCTGTAAAATTTTTATATTCATCAGAATTGATGTGACATCCGATAAATTTGTCTTGTCAAAGACAAATTTGGATATTTATTTAAAAAGAATGCAAATTTATTTAAAAATTGAGTTAAAATTTTATTGAGGTAATATTCTATTTTTTTTTAAAGAAGGACGAGCAAGTAAATTACTTGGCCCAAAGAAGGTACCAATGGAGGGATTAATGGTTTTCAACCACTCTGTGAAATGGGTATAAAATTTGGTGTGAATTTAAGAAGAACGAGGAGGATAATGTTAGTAATATATATTTTTTAATACATCTTTTATTATTAGTTAAAAATTATTAAAAATTGTGTAAACTTTATTTTTTATTTTTAAATAAATATTTTTTCTTATATTCTTTTAATTTTTAATAGATTTTAAAAATAATGTGTAGGCAGCATTTATATCACGAAGGGAGTCTGCTAATGCTTTTTTGGGTGTGTGATCGTTGTGCTTTGATTGCTTTGTCAGTTGAATTTAATAAACCAGCAAGGTCTACTTGTCTTGTTTTTTACCAAAAAAAAATAAAAATACTTGTCTTGTTTAACCACATTAAAAATTGTTTATTTTATAATTTCATAACATCTTAAACTGTTGCTAATTCAAGAGTGAAAATAAGTTAAAACTAATGAAGGAAGTACATATATTTTAAATTAGCAATCATACTGTGTCGTACCTTTTCAAATACGTATTTTATATTAAATAGTTTATGAATATTTAGTTATATTAAATAAGGTTAAAAAACATAAACTTTAAAAAAAAATTAACGACTATACGATTTTAATATATTATGGGAAAAATATAATAACAATCATGATAAATTGTACATGTTTTCTTATAAATATTGATCTAGTAAAATTTAAAAGCCTTCTAAATGATATAAAATTTGATATTTTTAAATAAATAGGTTAAGAATAACTTAACTTAATTTCTTTTGAAAATATATTAGTCTCAATGCAAGTCATGTTGTAAATCTTCAATGACTTGCTTGATTTATTTTCTCCCTTGTCTACTACATGGGTGAAATTTTAGTTGCAATAAGAAAAAACTATCATGCTATGTGAAAACTTAATTAATTATTTCTTAAAACTAATAATTTATTTTTAAAAACTTTGAAAAATAAAATAAAAGGTTATTATTTTTCGCATGAATTTATTTAATAAATGTGTGGTCATAACAAACTTAGAGTTTAATCTTTTTAAACTAAGGGATAATGCACCATAAAGGTTAAATTAAACAGATCATTTGAACTGAACTATAACTTCACCTCATATCATAATCTAGCCCAATGTTAGACTTAAATTCTATAAATAAGAGCTAGGCATATTTTTCACACCCCAATCAATGTCGTAAATCAATCACTTATACACATTATTATACGATTAAATGCTTGCCAATTATTACCCGCCAACCAATCAACTTTGATCATCCTATCGAGAAAGAATTTTACTACAAGAATTAAATGTTGTAAATGGTAACGAAATAGACTTTTGGATTAATGCGAAAGCGCACAATTCAAAAATAAAAGTTTACTATAATAATATAGCACTTTCGTTTTACAACGATAATATATAAAATTTCAAGCCATAAAATTTTAACTCCACAAAAAATACATAACAGACACTTCACAATACAATAATACATTAACCATAGTGTTAATTTAATATTATCGGATTAGATAAAGAGATAAGTTCAAAGAAAATGATAGAGACAACCGGGGAAGAAGACAAGTAAGTAAAAAGGAATGGAAAAAACAGAAGCAAAATTACGGAGTTTCAGCGTTATTGTCTTGTACCTGTCATGAACGGTTCGTGGATAGGACGAGCGAGACGTGACACGGTTAGAAATGTTCACAAAAACAAGACTTGTCCTTGCGCTTTACCTCTTCAGTTCGCAAAGAAACCAAAAATAATGCAGTCCACGTTAAACATCCATGGTCTTCCTCTATGCCTTTCAGGGATAATCCACCCTCTTGCTCTCTCTCATGAGTAACCATTCAATTCCTCCCTTCAATTAATTCACCACCCTTTTCTCTCTTTCTCTCTAATGTGTATGATCTGTTGTTGTTGGTGGTGTAGGATCGCAGATCATGACCGTAGGAGGATGGCCATGAGGAAGCAAAGATCACTCGCTAGAGAGCGTGTTCATGCAAATCAAGAAATGGGAAGTCAAATTAACGTTGGAAGAGACTTTTTGGAGGTTAAAGGTGAGATTGATTTGTATGATCTGTGCCACACTCGCTCGGGTTTAACAGCAAGAGCTGCTTAGCTTCTTCAACAAAATATCACTACCATCACTTGTGCATCTTGCTTATTTTTATTTGTGCCACTTCTCTTCGTAAGTTGTTTTCAATTTTATCATGTCGATCGATCTTTTTCTTGTATTTCTGCTCCATGATTATTATTTCTCTTGATGTTGCATATATGCACTGCCCATTTTCATGTGAGCACTTCAATTTGATCTCAAAACTTTCTTTTTAAATAAACAGAAATTCTTGTTGAACTTTGTGTTCAAGGGTACTCAAAATTTAATCTCAAAGCTGCCTTATTAAGTTGGTCCAATTAGTCAAAGGACAAAAAAATGATAATGTTTGTGTTCTATCTGACCTAGTATTTGTGTGACATTGATTAAAGTAGCTAATTCTGATGAGTCACACATTCAGTACTAGGTAAGAGCGGGCAGGTCCATTTACTACTTTTGAAATCCCTAACTCTGCTGAAACTACCCTAAACGTAATTGATTCCAAAGAGAATATATCAAAGAAGGTAAGTGAAGAATAATATAAAGATTGAAAAACAAGAAGAAAGGGGAGTTTTGATTTCTTTCATGTTATTTCAAGCATGCTTCATTTTTAGTAGCTTATCTTGGTGAATTTAATTAAGCTAGTTATAGAAGTCTTGTTTCAGATAGATTCAATAATATGTTGATTAATGTTTAATACATTTTAGAACAGTTTAGAATTTTATTTAGTTTAAAAAAACCACAAAAGATTAGTGAAATAGCTTGGTACACGAAAATCCCATTTAAAATTCATGGCTGAGGGAGCTCCAAAATAACTTCTATTTCATGAGAAATTAAAGAAACATACGCATCTCTGATGTAAGGCTAATAATGGATAAGGTTCGGGCAAATTACTATAATGTTTATTTTTATATTTGTATTTTTAAAAAAATCATATCTAAACTCGCGATCATATAGCAACTTTAATATATGTATTCGAATTCATTATTCGCATTCTAATTAACGTAAATTAAAATTTTATTCTATTTTTGCATGACAAACTAATGAAATGTGAAAGTTATTATAATACTAATATTAATAATAAAAAATATTAATTAAAAATGTTTAAAAACAATTTAATTGTTAATTATAAAGTATTACGAAATAGAGCTCTTTAATTTGATCAGAAAAATTTTAAAAATTTTATATTTTAATATAAAATAAAATATAATAAATATATTATTTGAATATAAATAAAATTAAGTAATATAGTACCTATACACCCTTACTTAAATGCAGAACTATTTAATACATAAATATTATATATATATATATATATATATATATATATATTCAACTATTGAATCTCCATCTCATCCTTTAAATCAAAGATAAACTTTCATCTTTGCAAAGCTTGGACTAAATATAACAATGTTATTGTATTGGATAAGAGACGACTCAATTATTTTTACTTAAACAGGAAACTGAATATTTTTCTGGCCTCATCTTGAGCTAAAGGACACCTACACCCTTTTGTCCTCATCTTGGGCTGAAAGGTAACCTTACCTTGGGTCAAACAGTACTCACTTCCTTCGGTCACATCAAAATAGATTAATAGGATAATTAAGGTAATTAATCAAATAAAGAATGATTAATTATCTAATTAATCAAAAGGTAGTTTAAGGCTGATTCATCAAGTCTATTAGCCCAATATTATGCCTATAAAAGGAAAGTAAGAAGGACAGGTAAAGAAAGACTGAAGAATATTTAATAACATTTATTGTTCTATTCGGAATACTTACTTGACCATTGGAGTGCCATTGCAGGTACTCTCCTCCTACGGACAAATAGAATTTGGAATATTCTAGGAGGACGTCATAGTAGTACGCGATGACAGAAGTTACAGTGAACTAGTGTATCATTTGTAGGAATATTTTGGCGCCTATCGTGGGGCTTAAATTGCTTCAACCCTCAGTAAACATGGTACAGACTAGGAGTCAGCAAGAAGACCCCAGCCAACAGTGGGGAATGCCTGGAAAACCCATAGGACCCATTCAAAATTAGCCTATACCAGAAGAAGTTTATGTGGAGAGGGGGAAAGATGAAGACTTGTCCTCAGTTGTTAGGCAGCTGAAAGCAGAGATAATAGAGATGCAGAGTCTCCGAGAAAAAGATGCTTATGAATTGTCTGCGTTACAGAGGGAGAACGCTAATCTCATAAGTGAAATTAGAACCTACATTCCTTCCCAAGTTACACCCCTTGTTCACAAACAAGAATCATCTGCCCTACAAGAGAAGTCGACGACCATTCAGCAGCAGATGAGGGCTAATCTTGTTGATTTGCTTTTTGCATCTGAATCCTAGTTTTCTGCTTAGTAAATAAAGCCAAGATTGCAAATACTTGTTTTGCAACCCTAAACCCTAAACCCTTTACTCAATGAACTTTGGAAGCGAGATTACTAGACGAATGGAAAAGTTTGACGCTGGAAAAATATGATGGAACTTCTGATCCTGAGGACTATGTGGATATATTCACTACCCAAGTTGGCCTTTACACTAACGAAGATGCCCTACTATGTCGAATATTCCTGATATCGCTCCGTGGACCAGCTCTCAACTGGTTCACTAGATTACCGCTCGCTTTCATAGATTTGTTTGCGACACTTATCACGCGCTTCAATTTGCAGTTTGCCACTATTCATCCTTATTAAATAACCTTATTGGCTTTGGTTAATATTAGCCAGGAGAAGAAGGAAACACTTGGGGTGTTTATGAAATGTTTTGGGCAAATATCCCTCTCTATTTGGAACTTGGATTCGGCAGTTGCGATGCACCATCTCACAACAGCCCTTAGGCCAAGTTCGTTTGTCAACAGTATCTACAAAAAAAACCTATGTCAACCTAGATGAACTACATTGCCGAGCAACCAAATACATGCAAAAGGAAGAACTGGTTGAGTTTCGCAACCAAGCCCGGATGGAGCAAATGCCTAGTTGAAGAGAATCTGAAGGGAACGAATAAGTAAGAAATAAACATGGAAACAAGAACCAAAAGATCAAAATTGAACGTCTTCCGAGGGGACTTAGGTTTGCAAGTTACACAACGTTAGACACCAATCGGTCCAGGGTACTCGAGCAGGCTTTAGCAACAGAGATATTGACAATACCGAAGCGCACAAACACTCCCACTTGGGCTATAAATTGTACTTTATAAATTTAGTGCACTATTTTCACTTAGGTTTTGTCCTTTTAAAAGAATGTAAAAAGAAGTTTTTCGGATAAGGTCTTTAACTGGACACTTCATCAATAAAACAACAAAACTTTCTTATATGTCAACAGTCTCTTATTATTCCCTCTCAGGTACCTCACTTGGCTAAGGTTGAATCAAAATTCTTTCCCGAGTACTTCACTCGGCTAAGGTTGAATTAAATATTCCTTCCCAAGTACCTCATTCGGCTTAGGTTGAATTAAATATTCCCTTCCGAGTACCTCACTCGACTAAAGTTGAATTAAATATTTTCTTTTGAGTATCTCACTCGGCTAAGGTTGAATTAAATATTCTCGGATATCTTGCTCAACTAAGATTCAATTACTTTTTTTGGATAACCTATCTCGATTAGTATATATATTCTCAAGTACCTCGCTTGGTTAAGAGTTTGATTATTTTCTCCTAACAACCCCTCTCGGTTAAGGTAAAATTTACATTTAAAAGTATACATTCTGTTCGAATGTTCGCTGATAGGTACCTCACTTAGCTATTGTCTAATAACGAATGATTACTGTCGTATAACGTATTAGGTTCGAGACGTTAAAAAACTACAAATATCGTTGATACTAATCATCTTTAACTTGTTCATTTTTAAACGTTATTTTGAAAGTTACCATGAATACACAAGTAATCATGAAAATAAAAGTTGTCTATTTCATCCTTGAATGAAAGGTGCCTAACACCTTTTTGGCCCCATCCTTGGATGAAAGGCGCCTAACACCCCTTCGATCTCATCTTTGGAGGAAAGGCGCTTAACACCCTTTTGATCTCATCCTTGAAGGAAAGACGCCTAACACCCCTTTGGTCTCATCCTTGGATGAAAGGTCGGCCTCATCCTTAGAGGAAAGGTGCCTAACACCCCTTCGACCTCACCTTGGAAGAAAGACGCCTAACACTCCTTCGACCTCATCCTTGGAGGAATAACACCTAACACCCCTTCGGCCTCATCCTTGGAGGAAAGACACCTAACACGCCTTTGGCCTTATCCTTGGATGAAAGGTGCCTAACATCCCTTCGGCCTCATCCTTGAATGAATGGCGCCTAACACCCTTTCAGTCTCATCCTTGGAAGAAAGATGCCTAACATCCCTTCAGCCTTATCCTTGGATGAATGTCGCCTATCACCCCTTCGGCCTCATCCTTGGATGAATGGCACCTAACACCCTTTTGGTCTCATCTTTGGACAAAAGACGCTTAACATCCCTTCGGCCTTATGCTTAGATGAAAGACGCCTAACACCCCTTCGACCTCATCCCCGGACAAAAGGTGCCTAACACCTTGTCGGCCTCATCCTTGGACAAAAGGCGCTAAGGCAGCACAGCTCCAACACGTAATTTCTTTGAAATCCTTCTTCTGTTGATACATTAGTTAAAGCCCTTACGTCATACCTCCTCGGGCTTAGGGGATAAGTGTACTGGATAAGATACGACTCGATCATTTCCACTTAAACAGGAAACCGAATACCCTTTCGGTCTTATCTTGGGCCAAAGGACACTTACACCTTTTTATCCTCATCTTGGGCCAGAAGGTAGCCTCACCTTGGGCCGAATGGTACTCACACTCCCTTCGGTCACATTAAAATAGATTAACAGGATAATTAAGATAATTAATCAAATAAAAAAGGATTAATTATCTAACTAATTAGAAGGTAATTTAGGGCTGACTCATCAAATTCATTAGCCTAATATTATGCCTATAAAAAGAAAGTAAGAAAAACATGTAAAGGAAGACTAGAGAATATTTAATAGTATTTATTGCTCTATACTGAATGCTTACTTGACCATCGGAGTGCCATTGCAGGTACTTTTCTCCTACGGATAAATATAGTCTGAAATATTCTACGAGAACGTCATAGCAGTACGTGAGAACAAAAGTTACAGTGAACTAGTGTATCCTTTACAGGATCAGTTATATTTTCGAATTCATTTTTTCAATAATAAAAAAATAAACCTTAAAATAAGGACGGTTTAAAAATACATTTTGATTAACTTATTTTATATAAAAATAACCTTTAATCAAATTTTGGTACCAAATTCAATTTTACATTTAATATAAAAAAATTATCAATGTGTAGATAATTTTTATCAACTCGTTAGTTAAATTTGATAAAAATATTATTTTAATTTCTTTAGCGGGTGACGCAAAGGTGTGCGTCCTCCAGCAAAGCTTGAGATCATAACCGCAACAACAAAGCTGAAAGAGCCTTCGTTTACCCAGAGAGCTTCTGTGTTTTATGTTTATAGCTCAGAAAACAATTCTCCCATTATTATCGCGTGGTTTAATAAATAATTGTATCAACGTGGAAGAAGAATGCTCGTAGTTGGCTTTTAGTGTTTTGCGTTGCATCTTCAATAATTTAATTTTTTGTTTTCATCATAAATAATTGACGAGCCCACTAGGCACTAGCTAGTAGCTTCTTCAATCTATGTGCCTCAGTTGTCGTTTCATAATCTCCAATTTATAATTTATTTTAAAGTATAAGTAATTAAGATTAATAAGTTAACATATTTTTATTCACATGTTTTATTATATTTCAATATAATTCTTTTATATCTTTCTGATGTATCATCTATTTTTTCTATCTCACTTAATTATTAAATAACTATGTAAATGTTAATTTTTTATAAAATTAATAAATGATAAAATGGAATATTTCACGCATCAATTATGTACCTTAGTTGTACTACTACATTTATAATCCAACAGCTAATTACGGTTACGTATAAATTTGGACAGTGTTTGATTCAATGTTTTTTTCTCTCCTAAAAAGATTTGCCAAATAAAATTTATTTTTTTAAAATACGAGTTCATAAATAAATACCAAAAACATAACTTTATTTAGGAAAATAAATAAATAAACTTTTTATCCTATGCAGATTAAGACCATATATTTCACAAGATCGCTTTTAATTTTTTATTCTACGAGTTACGTTCATTTAATCTGAAAAATTAAACAAGCTAAAGATTCTTCAATTTTGTAAACTTGTATTCATTATGGACACTTTATTTAGCATCTGTTTGCTTGAATTTTGAACTACTAGACAATGAAACTGTTTTGACTAAAATATCTTTACTTCAAAATTTTATTTTATTTCTAACATTTTTCATAATATTTAATTACTTTTTATTTATAAATTACATTCTAAAAGTGTTTGTTCAGTCTTTAATAAATAACTAAGTAATTAAACCCATGCAATGAACCAAGAATTAGTTATATACGTGTTTTATCAGAAAAGTGTTAGGCTCAGATTTACTATAAACAATTAATAATAATAAAATGTTATTGAAAAAATAAGTATTAATTATATTTTTATGACTTTAATATAATAAATATGTAATTTTTATAATTTTTTATTTATAAAATTAATAAAATTGTTTTTTTAAATATTGTCACGTTGTTTAAATTTAATTTTGATGACTTTTCTTTAAATACTATTGCAACTTAAAATTAAACAATTTTAATAAAAAAAGATTTAAAGTATGTTTGTTTCTAATTTTTAAAATTTAAAAAAAAAACTAAAAATACATGTATTTTTAGTTTTTAAAAAGAATTTTTTTAAATTAAAAATAAATATGTTCTTAATTCACGTTTTACTTTGCGGGAAAGAAGACAAAGACAATAATACTAATACGAAAAATATTAATTAAAGTGAATGATGAAAACTAATTATAGTAATTTTTTTATTAAAAATTATTATACTTTAATAAGTTTAATATAATAAACAATTTTTTATAAAATTAATTTTATCATAAATATTTAAACTTAATATTAAGAATTAAAGTTAACAAAATTTTAATAGTAAAATACAAATATTTAAAAAAAAGTGAATGTTAATTGACAATATAAATGAAGATGTAAATATAATCTGTGATAATTCATAAAATCCAATTTATTGAATTTAATAATATGGATCATTTCTTATTCTCTAAAAAAAGAAATTCCTATTATCAGAACAAGTAATAAAAAAATTGGAAAATTGAAATGGCGCTGGAAAAACAAAGAAAAGGAGAAAGGGATGGTTGTGTCCGTTGAACTTAGACGCGAGCATACTGAAACTTAACCCGGACGTGTTCCCGTTAAAAGCCGGATTGGATAATCGGCGATAGGTCCGAACTTTGAAGTGTAGATTTGGTTGAGTCAAAAACAAACGCTCACCAACGCAGACTCCGCGTAAGTAAGCTCCCTAAACCCTAACTGTCACTGCCTTTACCTTTATTCTTCTTGTGTGCCTCGATTTCGATTCGTTCCTATCATTCATACTTTTCAATTCGCTGTTAATTTCCACTCCTCGTTCCGTTAGTTATGAATTTCACTTTTAATTTTGTTTTATTGGGTTAATCTATCTTCTTAATTCTGCTGGTTGCTTTTGTTTTGCTTGGTTTACTTTATTTGAGTAGATTGATCACTGCTCGGAGCAGCATGTGCTAGCTTCTGTTGCTTTGTTTGCCAATTGATTTCGTTATTGCTGAAGATTCTGCGCGAAATGGATTTGGTATCCAGTTGCAAGGTATATTCAATTTTAGGATAGTATTGCGGCTTGCTAAAATAGTCTTTTAGGGATCGCTTTTTAGTTTTTTTTTTTTTTTTGTTTAATTTTTGTTTTGTTTGAGTGGTGCTTAACTCGATGGATTCCTTGCATATTATTTATAAATCGTGTTGGCTTAGTTCCTTATTGTTAAAACGTTAATGCAGAATACGGTTTTGATTTTCCTGGTACTTGGTAGTATAGGGTTTGGAATAGCGATTAGGAACTAGGAAGAGCTAGGAAATTTATTGTTTTTGAATTTTATTTTCATGGATAGATGTTAGCCATTTCTCTTGCAAGCTAAGTTTGTGCCTGGCTCGTTGATTTGACTCAGTTTTTGTTTAGTTTAATTTACTTATCACTGAACATTGTTAACCAGGGGCCCAGTGGCTTAACCTTTCACTAGAGTTTTATGCTGAGATATTAACCATGGGGTATACTTTTCTACTTTACTGATGTAGTGATTGTTCTTGTAGGAAAAATTGCAATGTTTTCGTATAAAAGAGCTCAAAGATGTGCTCACTCAGTTAGGACTTTCAAAGCAGGGAAAGAAGCAGGTGAGATAAGGAAAAACAAAAACTGATTATGTAACTTCAACATTAGAATTTTTCTTCAAAACCAGAACGCAAGCACATTGAGCATCATTGAATGGTGCGTGCTTGCTGATTACTTCTATTTTTTAGTATGATCTTTTTTAACCCCCTTACCCTCAAGATTGATTACATGCGACTTCAATTGCAGTATTTAGGCTGTGGTTTAGACTTAAATGTTTCCTAGTAATCAAGAATATGAGTTTGAAACTCTTGGAGAAGATGGATACTCTCACATTGGCATGAATTTTCACAAATATTGTAACTTTGGGTTTGTAGCCCATGCATTAATATTTTTCAATCCCTAATTTGATACTATTTACTTTGGAGTTTTAGGATGACATAATCATATGAATGCTTCATTTTCTGTAGGATCTTGTCGATAGGATATTATCTATTCTCTCTGATGAACAAGGTATGATTATAATCTCTCTATGACACACACACACACACACACAGAGAGACTCAATCTTTAGTTCTAATTCTGCCTTGTTTTCATAATTTTTCTTAGATATTGGGAGGTTTAGACTATATATGCATAACAGAGTTATTAACTAAATTCTTGAACTTGAATATTCAGATGTTTCAAATTTAGTATTTGTCTGTCAATATCTCATTGCAGTTCAGTTGTTATATGCATTAATGTATTAATTTTGCATAATTCAAGTTAGATGGAAATTCTTGGAAAATGCAGTGATTTTTTCTTTGCACCAATTATTAAACTTACCTAGTTAATCAGATGAATTTGGGCTGTTTCTTTTCACATGGGCTTGTGTTTGTACCTCAAATTTCTTTTTGATATCTCTTCTTTGTTATTTTGGAATCTGACTTGTCATATAATGCGTGTTTAGACTTTAGAGCACATTTTAAAACTTCAATCAATCATCAACTTGGCTGAAGTTTTCAGTCAAGGGGTTACACTCATCAAACCACATTAAATATATCAATATTTAATATAAATTTTAAACATATATTTGAAAAAAATGAATTTTATGTAATAAAATTTATTTTCCCCCTTTATTGACTTGTTTTGATGGATGGAACTTTTTGGGTGTAATACTAATTCTGATTGAAAGGCCCATATTAAAAATAAACTTTTGAGCGTTTGAATAAAAAAATGGAAAAAAATTAAAAATAGGAAAAAAAAATAGGAGTGTTTCACATTAGTCACACTGCCGTATACTCCATCTTTTTTTACCTGTATGCTTTGCAATCTGCAGCCTCAAAGCAATGAGAAATAGTCATTAAGTAGCTAGCCCAAGCTTTGTGCCATAGTGCAATCATTGTTGTCAAGATCACTACTATACTCGTAGGATTGTATGATCCTATGAGTTTTGCCCCTTCAACAATCCTATTTCCAGTTTCCACTTAAGATTGGAAAGTTAATGGATTGGATGGTATCAGTGGGTAAAACTGCAGACTCATGAAATTGGAGACAGGTTGCACAACCCAGCTTATAAAACCTTAACCCTCTTATTTTGTTTGACCCAGTTTCATCCTTCTTCCCTGCACCTAACTCACCAACGTCCCTTTCTGTCATGCCCATCTGCCCTAACTCTCCAAAACACTGTATCTGTATTGCACCTCTCTTCCATATATGCATATTCGCAGGTTGGAGCTCTCAGTCCTAGTTGTGTGGGTGGGTGGAATATCAATGGTGTCAGAATGGAGTTCAAACTTTCTGGTTGATCCTCTATCACTAACCTTAGATGCATCTATGACTGATTGCATGACAATGGAGCAGAAGTAGATGGAATGTGCGCTAGAAGCCATGGAGATCTGACTCATACAGAATCCACCTGTGTCCCCACAACCACCGGAGCCATCAGACTCTAGCTCACATGTGATGACCAGTGGTTTATTCACTGCTAAGTCATCATGGTGAGGACCTGAGAGGTATGTCTTGTTATAGTAGACTATTTGGTTCTGGAGAAGGAGAAAGAGGAAGAGGCAGAACTGAAATTCTGCAAAACTGGCTCCAATATATAACCTAATATCTTAGGCTCTAATTGGTTTTAATAATCAGATCATGAAGAAAGAGGGGTAAATTGGAAATTCTGCTTGCCAAGCTCAATTTGGAAGTTGATCTTCCACTATTTCAACTGGCATATGCTGGGATTTTACTGAATTTCTCAACAGGGGACTGGAGTGATGAGGATCTTACCATGTGGTTATCTAGGCATTAGAGTTGGTTTACTTTGGAGGGTTTATGTCTGATTTCTTTCCAGTTTCCACAATTTCAATCTTGAGGACAATTGATTTTCATGGGGTGGCATTGTTAGGATAGAAGGGAAGAAAAAGTTAGCTAGGGACAGTAGTTAGATAGGGAGGATCAATTAGACAAGGGAATTAAGGGGAGAAAAAGGTATTCAGAGAGATAGAAAGTTTGAAAGAAGCAGGAATCTTTGTGAAGGGAAACCGTGGAGGCATATTTGTGCTCCTATGCTCTGTTGTTAATAAATCTGTTCAGTTTCTTTTTAATTCATATCACGTTTTCATTTCTCTTGTTTATGTAACAGATTCTGTGGCTACTGCTTACCCTGCCTCTCCCTAATATTTACTCTATCTGATGACTTGCTTTGCATTGTCTCAGCCTTGCATTCTGATATGAATAAGGCAACAAACTAGTTACTGTCAAGGGTTGTGGGCACACTGCCTTACCAAGTGCGGGGGGTGGATGGTGCAGTCATTGTGTTACTGTTTCCCATTCTCTCTTTCCCTGTCATGCAAGATGTGTCACGAATTGGTCGGTCTTTTTTTTACTTTGATTAAATTTCACCAACTTGCTGGTTTGGAAAACTGGCTGGTTCTCAGGGCGTGCTCCAAATTGACTGAGTTAAATCAGTTTTTACTGGTTCAATTACATTTCCAATATAATATGAGGCTTGAAATGGGTTGAACTGGCTGGTCTAAGCTGAGTTTTAGATCACTGGTTTTGAGTGTTAGCAATTTGTATAACAGCATACTTTATTGAATATAAATTTTTTAAAATATTTCATAATGATGCATCTAATTTAGTTTTATGATTTTAAGATGTGAATTTAGCTTTCTAATGTTCCTCCCTCGTTTCTCATGAACTAAAAACCAATTACTTTTTCCCCAGTTTCCAAAATGTGGGCTAAGAAGAATGCTGTTGGAAAAGAACAGGTGGCAAAATTTGTGGATGACATATATAGGTCAGTGTCAGAGACAATTCTGTTGACATTTTCTTCATTTCGCTTTGGTATGCTTTGGATAAATTTAATGGTCAATTTGTAGATCACTGTTCATTCACACATGATTTGGCATTTTATTTTCAGGTTTCCTTTAAGTTGATTATACTGGCATGCATGTGCTATAATCTCCTTGGTTATTTTTTTCTTTCGTAACTTTTTGTGTTTTCATTTGGCACAGAAAATTGCAGGCAGCGGGGGCTATTGATCTAGCATCCAAGGGACAGGGTGCCTCAGATTGCAGTAGTTTGAAAATTAAACGTGAAGTTGATGATTCCTTTCAAGCTGATACGAAGATTCGCTGTCTGTGTGGAAGTTTATTGGAAACAGAGTCATTGATAAAGGTGTACTATTCAATTTATGTTTTCTAACCTCAGGATGTATAAAGTTATATGCCTTCTTATATTCTCATAATTTTGTTGATCGTTTCCATTTTTTCCCCTTGATAACATGTATTTTTCATTAAAATCCCTGATAGAAACTTATTTTTGTTAAATAAAGATTTTTTTTTCTCATCTAATTGCAGTGTGAAGATACAAGATGTAGTGTGTCACAGCATATCAACTGTGTTATTATTCCAGAAAAACCTATGGAAGGAATCCCACCAGTTCCTGATAAATTCTATTGTGAAATATGTCGACTCACTCGTGCCGACCCGTATGTTGTGTTTCCTTATTTTTTTTCAACAGATGGTGTGGGAATAAATTATTCAGAAGTCTTTTCATCCAAGTTCAGTCTGAATATTTTTTGTGTTTACTTAAAGAGCCGTCTGTGTTTTTATGTATTTATGATGTCAACGGCTTGCTTTGGTTGACATTATTTGCTTTTTATCTTAAGTTTGTTATCTATGATATCCTTTATTGGTGCAATGAACTGAGCTTATTAGCAGTCAGATGATGGCATGTTACAGTGCAGTAACTTTATTGTTGATGGTCCATTTAAGTATCATGTTCATAGTTGCTGAGGTGGTCAATTTATATATGTTTATTCTTATATGATAGCATTCTTATATCTTAGTGAATGCAAATAATTGCTTATTTTTCAAAAGCTCTAAGAGAACTGGCAAAATAAGCAATTGTTCCTTCAAAATAAGCTAAACTAAACATGCACTTAGTCTTTTAGTTGTGAATAGAGATTCTAATTATTATTATGGTGCTCTGTAAAGCTTTCAGTTTTTGTAGAACATTTTCATTTCAAGAATATGATTATGATTGATGTGTGCTAAATTTTCTGTATAGAATGACTTCCTCTTTTTTCTGTTATATTCTCTTGAAATTGAAAGGAGCTTCCTATCCAATTTTTTCGTTTTCATTAAACCATCACTCAAATTTGTTTTTTCTGCTTTTCTTTATACAGGTTTTGGGTTTCAGTCGCACACCCTTTGTTTCCTGTGAAGTTGACTACAACCAATATTCCAACTGATGGGTGAGAGTACATTTTGTGAACTTGTTGAAGTTCGACTAGTTTGTGTAACTGGGTTCATTTGACTTTGACCAAAATGAATGTCGTGTTTAATTGTTGTATCTTATATGCCAGTAAGAGGTTTTGTTGCCTAAATTATAAATTACAAGTAAGAGACTTTGGGGGTAAGAGTGTGTAAGTAAGGGTGAGGGAGTGATATCTACTTCCATTATTCTAACACAAGCTCATGTGCATTGTGTATAGCTTTTTGTTGCTTTCTATATATGTTCTACATTCAGTTATTTGTTGCTATTTGTAGGGATATTATTATTAGTGCTATTTCCTATTTACATTGTGTGAAGAAAATTTGTTTGGGTAGGGTATTAAATTTTGTTTCTGAGGTGAAAATTCTCTTACGACAATAATTGTTTGAAAGTAAACTTCTCCCCTCCTCTTTATTTGACCATTTTCTTTTCTTGTCTCTTGGTTTTCTTAAATCTTTCTCAAATCCATCACAGATATTTGTTGTTTACTATTGTTTGATTCAAATTTTTAATGCAGCTTCATGATTGAATAACTTAACTATATTTCTGTTTGAATTGTTCAGAACCAACCCAGTACAAAGTGTGGAAAGAACATTTCAACTCACTAGAGCAAACAAGGAGTTGGTATCAAAATCAGAATATGATGTTCAGGTTGGTTTGGTTTAATTCTAGTTAGTTTAACGCGTAACTCTGAGTCTAAGTAATTTGTCAACATCCAATTGACATCATATCTAGGTCTGGTGTATGCTTCTGAACGACAAAGTCCCATTCAGAATGCAATGGCCGCAATATACAGATCTACAGGTTAATGGTATGTTATTACAAGTCATGATCCCACACTGCTGTTCTTTTGGTTTCCTTTTGAGAATTTTGTTTCATGTTATGGGTGTATATTATGTTTGCATATCATAATATTATGTGTAATTAGAAGTACGTAATCTGTGATTAAAACATCAAAATTTGTTCATGTACATGAATTTTGTGGTTGAATTGAATTTTTTGTGCTCATTGAGTTGGCTATGTTCATATAGGTCTTCCTGTTCGTGCAATTAACAGACCTGGGTCGCAATTGCTTGGGGCTAATGGTCGTGATGATGGTCCAATTGTAAGTTTATTGTAATCTATTGTTTATTTTCTATTCAAAGATTTCTGTTGTGGACTTATTTACTGTGATCTTATGAACAGTGTTGATTAAATTTCATTTATAATGGTTTTATTCAATCTCTTATTTTATTTCTCCTTTGTCAGATCACGCCATATACAAAAGACGGAATTAATAAGATTTCCTTAACAGGGTGTGATGCTCGCATTTTCTGTTTAGGGGTTCGTATTGTTAGAAGGCGCAATGTGCAACAGGTAGATTGCATTCTAAACTTAATGTCTAGATAAAATATTCTGGATGACTTTTGGTTCCTTTAATCCAGGCTTATTGGAATAGTAAAGTTTGATGTTAAGAATCTCCTTGTATAATGTCATCCAAAGTTTCTAAGGCTGCTTCCTTTTGGTTGATTTTTTGAAATAATTGAAATTTGGCAAAACATGGAATGGTTTTGTGATTTTCATTCTTTGTCAAATTTAAATAATATGATTGATTGAGGCAAGTATTGAGGTGCCAAAGTGCCATGGCTTGATATTATAGCTCTTGCTGATCTTGGCATTTATTACTCATTTTAATAATGAAATACATCTGTCTTATTGTTTCTGACAAAAGAATGGTCTTTATCATAGAGTTCTTATGCCTTTTTAGTTTCATGATTTTTTGTTATTGGCTTATTGCTTTGAATTTTGTGATCTAATTTACATAACAAAGTCAGGTATGGTTGGGTGTATTGACCTCTTGTACTTAATATGAATCTTGTTGATTTGCTTTTTGCATCTGAATCCTAGTTTTCTGCTTAGTAAATAAAGCCAAGATTGCAAATACTTCTTTTGCATAAACTTCTTTTCTTGAGATGTTAACTGTTTTGATCTCCATTTCTCGTTATTATTTGGCATAGCCATTTTCATCAAGCTTTATTTTTATCATACCAAATTTTGTTTTTCATGAAGTTTTGGTGTTTCCAAACCAGGCAGATATGCTGCTGTGATGTTTATGTTAGTGACAATGTCTGAGACTTCACTGTCTAATTGAAAATTCTGTTACACTCTATAAGGGATGAAATGGAGAGGAAAGAAATAAAGGAGAAAAGAAATAGAGTAGAAATGATTTGAAAAAATGTGTAGTTTGGATTGGTAAGAATTAGTGGAGAAAGTTTCCTTCTTATTTGGATGAGTGAAAATAAATGAGTAAATTATATAAGAAAATCATTTGTAATAATCATAAGAAAAAAAATATTTTTTTCTTCAATATTTGTCTTAAAAAGTTTTAAGAATTTGATTGTAGATCGAGCTTAATAGCGTTATGTGATTCATGTTCCCAACCTTACCTAGTGGGATTTAGGGTTCAAGGGTTGATGATTATTGTATATAAAGTATTATTTAAAATAAAAATAATTAGAACCAAAAAAACTAATCCTATTCCCTCCTTGAATTCCTCCCACTCAAAATAGTGTTATGGAAAAAGAAATTGCTGTAGATGGATGAAGCAAAGGAAAGCACATGGCATTGAGGTTAAGGTATCCTTTAGAACTGGCAGAAGCACGAGGAATAAAACTGAAAAAAGGACATTAGGACCTGATTTAAGGAAATGCATTTTGTTCTCATTTTCTGTTTTCGCTAATAATTACAAAAATGCACATTGTTTTCAATTTGCCTATTGTTTACAAATAAATGTTCAGTAAATGGTGAAAACAAGGTGACTTTTTTTGTTACTGTTAGTGAAAACAAAATGGAAACAAAGTACATTTGCCTAAAACGAACAGGCTATTAAAGGCAGCAATCTAGCAAGGCTGTCAAATCTGTTATAGATTCCCAAATCTCAGCAGTTAGTTAAAGTAAGGCATCTAGTGTGTGAGAGAATTTAGAAGAATGGGTTTAGCTTAAATAGGAATAGTAAGGAGTGGCATTGAGGTTTGTTAGCCCGTGGGTAAACAAAGTGCTGTCATTGCATAGTTGCAAGGTTGGAGGAGCGATTTTATTTTTTGGTCTACCTATACAATCACTCTTCTCTCTATTTCCATTGTGGGTTTCTAACTGTTGAAAATGGATACCATATTGAAACAACCATGGACAGCAGTGCTGAACATCAGAGCAGAAAATGTGACTTTATCCCTTTCTAAGATAAAAATTAACTCATGAATGATGTGGTATTTAGGTGTATATTTTGTTGAAATGTCCCTTTGCATGGAAATTTTTAAAGTTTATATATTGATTTAATATTTTTAGTTATGCTTGTCTTCCAATAGTGCTGTATAATTAATGATTTAGTGTCTGATATTTAGATCCTAGACATGATTCCAAAAGTGTCTGATGGTGAGCGTTTTGAAGATGCTCTTGCACGGGTCTGTTGTTGTGTTGGGGGTGGAAATGCAAATGATGATGCTGATAGTGACAGTGATTTGGAAGTGGTTTCAGATACTTTTAGTATCAATCTCCGCTGTCCAGTAAGACTCGTGTATTGGATTATTTTGGTTATCATTTCATGGAGTTTTATTAATGAGTTCCTAAAGTCTTCCAATTTTTTATACAATTGTGAAATTTATAGATGAGTGGTTCAAGAATGAAGATTGCGGGAAGATTCAAACCCTGTGTTCACATGGGCTGTTTTGATCTTGAGGTTTTTGTGGAAATGAATCAACGATCAAGGAAGGTAAGATTCTCCAAAGTTGAGTATGATTTGATAAATTCCTTCTCTTTTTATTTTTTACAAAGTGTTTGATGAAGATTTAATTGTCTTTGCAGTGGCAGTGCCCCACGTGCCTGAAAAATTATGCTTTGGAGAACATCATTATTGACCCTTATTTCAATTGTATCACTTCTATGGTAGTTTTTTTTTCCACTTTGATCTTTATTTCTCTCCATAATGAAGCTCATATTTGAGTTTGATGAACCTGTAGTTATTACTTACATTGGTTTGCTGATACAGATGAAAAATTGTGGAGAAGAGATCACAGAGGTTGAGGTGAAACCTGATGGTTATTGGCGTGTTAAGGCCAAGAGTGAAAGTGAATGCCGGGAGTTAGGTAATCTTGCTCAATGGCACTGTCCTGATGGATCCCTTGCTGTTTCTACTGATGCAGAAGTCAAGAGAGTGGAAAATTTAAAACTCAAAGAGGAAGGTGTTTCAGAGAGTCCTATTGGTTTAAGACTTGGCATCAGGAAAAATAGTAATGGAGTTTGGGAAGTCAACAAACCTGAGAACACAAACACCTCTTCTGGTAATAGATTGAATGGTGATTTTGGAAATGATGAACATGTTGTTATTCCCATGAGTAGCAGTGCTACTGGAAGTGGCCGGGATGATGATGATCCTAGTGTAAATCAAGGTGGTGGTGGGCATATTGATTATTCTACTACCAATGGGATTGAGATGGATTCACTGTGTCACAATAATATTGATTCAGCTTATGGATATACTGTTCACAACACTTCTGCTCCCATGGGTGATGCAGAAGTTATTGTTCTTACTGATTCAGAAGACGACAATGATATATTGATGTCTTCAACAATTGGGTACAAAAATAATCCAACTGGTGCTGCAGTTGATGTTTACTCAATGCCACAGCCCATAATTATTGATTCATATACAGAAGATCACAATCTAGGTGGAAATTCATGCTTGGGAGTTTTTAATAATCCTAATGAAGATGATTTTGGGATGCCCTCCCTCTGGCCTTTGCATTCTGGAACTCAGCCAGGTTCAGGATTCCAATTATTTAGTTCTGATGTGGATGTGTCAGATGCATTGGTCCATTTGCAGCATGGTGATATTAATTGCTCCTCGTCACTGCATGGTTATACATTGGCTCCAGATACTGCTTTGGGATCTAGTACTCTCATACCAGACTCCTCTTCAGGTCGACCTGATGCTGATTTGAATGATGGCTTGGTTGACAATCCATTGGCATTCGCCGGAGAAGATCCCTCTCTTCAAATTTTTCTCCCTACTAGACCAGCAGATTCATCTATGCAGCCTGAACTGAGAGATCACGCAGACATGTCCAATGGTGTCTGCACTGAGGATTGGATCTCTCTTAGACTTGGAGATGGTGCTGGTGGAAGTAATGGTGATGCATCCGGTACAAATGGGTTGAATTCCAGACCGCAAGTTACACCCAGAGAAAATGCCACAGAGTCTTTGACAGATACTGGTTTGTTACTTTCTAAACCTAAATCTTACATTACTTTTACTAGTATGATCACCAAGATTTTTCTGACTCTTGTTCATAGTCCACTTGAGTACCATTGTTAGCCTGGGGAAATCATTTGTTCAACTTAACCTCACAATGTGTTAGGACTCGAAGTTTTAGATACACACAATACAATCTCACATATGTGGAGTTAATATCCTCCAATTTTCAATTAGGCAACCATGCGTTTATTATTCTATGAAAGCAAATATAGGTCATTGTTGGAATAGAGAAATTCTTACATAATATTTTTTTCCAGGACAACTTTTTTTGTCCCTCTGCAGATGAATGAGCATGCTTTTATATAGGTTTTTGAGAAGGAAAGGCCTTCTTAATTCCTTTAATCATATGATCACTAGGATTTTTTTTGAGTTCAATGTCAGAAGGACAATCGGAAACTGAATATTTCATCCTCTTTTCATGAAGCATTTCTGGTGTTAAACTTTAAATATCATACATAGATGCTATTATGTTGGTTGTTTCTGATGGGGCTGTATGTAGATTTGTCAAAATACTCTGCACAGTTCTATTAGTCTCCTTCATCATATCTCTGTCTAATTCAACTCATAAGTTGAAAGTAATTGAAGAAAAGGAAATAGCGCTCAACTCAATGAACTGTTTGCTAGTTTTACAGTTCAACCATCATTAGCTAGTCTTTCGGGTTTTTGGTAAAGGTGTGCTGTTTATTACTGGCTTGGGTTAAATTATTTTAGTAGTTTACATGAATTAATTTGTTAGGGAGAGAGGAGGGACAAGAAAGGAGGATATAATTAAATTATATAGAGACCACTTTTTCATAAAAATGACCCTAATGGCTATGATTCTTTGCTTCTGTATAAAACTTTAATGGATGCTTAGTGCACCTTGAAAATGCGGAGAAGCTAACCTCTGGACACAAAGTTGAAGAAGATACCTGTATGTAATAGTGCTTTCTCCCTGGTCTGTCTCCTTCCTCCTTGTGTTCAGTTCCTCAACTTTCTAACTCTTGTTACAATTATATACTAACTTGTTTGAACTATGTTCAATTTCTAACTCTTGGTTATTCTTAATGCAATGTGGCATTTCTTCTTCTACAACTTTGATGACCTGTAATTCCTCCTTACGCAGCTTCTTTGCTTCTTGGTATGAATGATGTTAGATCTGAGAAGGCAAGCAGGCAAAGGACAGATAGCCCTTTCTCATTTCCCCGCCAAAAACGTTCAGTAAGGTCCCGCTTGTATTTTTCTATTGATTCAGATCCGGAGTAGACCTTGTGTCTCTAATAACTTTAGATGCCCTTCTAAACCGTGCACATTTTTTATTTAGAAACTGCAGAAAGTTGAGCAGCATTTTTGGTCCTTAGGAAATGGAAGTTGATGTGGTATGAGGCACCTCTGGTGGAGCAGAGCTACAAAAATTTTCCGTCAAAATGTTTGCAACTGTAGGATATCCTTTCCCTATTGGTGGTTAAGGATGTTGGCTGCAATGGTTTCAATTCTTTATGCTTAATATTAAAGTTGTTCATAGGACACTCGAAAAGTCAGGGGTATGCTATAATTCCCCAGTTTTCAAGGTGGATCTGATGGTACTGGTGTAGTGCTGCTTCGTTGTCAAGATGGACGTTCAGATCTGATAGTCAAAACTTTTTGATGTGGTGGAGGGTTCCCCGTAAAAATATTATATCTGCAATTTTGTCTCTGCTGAGAGCAATCAACATGTAAATGTTAAGCCAACAGATTCTATAGTAAAATAAAAAATAGTTTAATCTTATTTACACCCAGGTTGACGCTTAATTTTTGTAATATATGGTTGCCGATATTTGTAATATATTTAAGGTACTAAAGTTGCATCCTGGATTGTAAATCCTAGTGAGGTTCCTACCTTCCTGTTTATTTAGTTACAGTTAACTGTCTTGGTATTCTTTTGAGCAGTTTAAGCAGGTGGAGTTAAATAGTTGAACTATAAGCTTGCACCTCTGGACAGATGTTATACAAAGGGCAAATTATGATATTCTGTTCTATCATAGGGTTCTGGTGATGAAGTGATAAACTGCTACTGTAAGGTCATACTCTGGTCCGTTTGGACATCGAAAAATAAGGATATATGTTATGATGTCTCTTCTTTTCATTTGATGTTTAACTTAATTTTTCCAAAATTTGAACGCCTAAATCGAAGCAATTTTTTTTTTTCAAGGGTAGGTTCATAGTAGATTTTAAAAGGGTGAATCGAGGAGATTAGAAAGTGGGAAAGGTTCGAAGTTTTAGGGGAGATGGAACTCACGTATTTGGAATAAAACTATGTTCTCGATTTTACCCTCATTTTTAATTAAAGTTCTAAATTTAAAATAATTCTGCGTGATTGTTTTCCATTTCAACGAAGTTTATAATACGTATTTAATTGCAATAATTATGATCATTACGTTTTTAATGAACTTAGAAATTTGTTAGTGAAATCTATACTACGCTTCTTTATTATAATCAATAGAGATTTCACAGAAATTTTTCATCACAATCACGTGTTCTTTCTTTATAGTTATATCCAGAATTGATTTTGTATGGATTAAGACGTGTGTATCTAAAGCTTTTTCCGAAAATAAGAACTGTCAAACCGCGGACGGCCATTTAAATTGGCATGACAGTAACGACACAAGCCATCCAAATTATTTTGTGTAGCTAACACAGCGAATTCAATTCTAATTTGGTGGTTTTCAAGAAAAACGAAAAAACACAACGAGTTTGGCATAAGGAAATATTTTGTTTTATCCTTAATAGTTATAGGATATTATATTGGTCATCTTCTGTATTTTTAAATATTTGTACATCAAATAATAAAACTGACGCTGTATTGTTTTTATAATTTGAATACTAATAATTGAAAAACAATAATCAAAATAAAAATAAAGTGATTTTTTTAATTGTTAATAAAATAGTATGAATGTATCCAACATGTTTTTGTTGCACTAGTTTACATTGGAAAGAAATTTAATGCAAATTTCTACGTCTTAGACAGGATAATTTTATTTGCAAGGGCATATGTGGATATAAAAATCATTGTTTTTATTTGTTTAAGCTTTTGAGTGTTTTTGATGTAGTACTCGAGTGATTTTAAGAATGATTCATGCTATTTTCGCTCTACATAAACACTGAATTTCCTAGCAAGTTTGTATGTGCTCCAAGTTTCAAGAGAGAAGGAATTGTTGCATGGGGAAGCATATTGGATATGAAATCAATCACATCAAACAACTTAAGTTCTGAGAGTAAATTATACAATACAGCTTTTCTTTATAACATATCAAGTTACTGATTTAGTAGTCCGGTGCATTGTTCTCCATTTTCTTCTGGTTACCCCGTCCATTTGGGTTGTCCTGATATTTGGCGGTGTAGGTTTTAAAATTTATTCAAGTTTACTTTATAAGGACAAGCTTCAGTTCAACTATGCTTTTATTGAGGAAAGCACAAATACATGATGCATTTGACCGTACAATTTAATCCAAACGTGGCTTTGGCACAAGGTTGGTCCCAGATTGTTTCATTATACAAGTTATATCTGACCACCGCCATTATTACTTCAGAGAGTACGTTACTTGGTAATGGTTTATTGCATAGTGCATGACAGCATGTGGTCTTATTCAGCAAGTTTAGGAGGGCACAGTTCTCAAGTTTCGCTTTTTTTACCCCTTGACTGGGCTTACTAGCTCAAAGATAGTTATGGATCATCATATTTGCAAATAGCATTGACAACATAGAAATGGGGCCAACAAAATATTACTTCAACACAACCAGAAACTAGATTCTAACCACTGTTGGAGAAGAATCTGGCTGGCCCACGGAGGAAGACTTCGAAGCCTCCATTATCAGCGGTGCCTGTTCCAAACAACTCTGGGTATCATCATTGGTCATCCCAATTGTCATTTTCTCCACTTCTTCTTGTGTATGTATATGAATCTTGGATACCACATCGCAGAACTCACTGCAGCCAAAAGGGAAAATGCATTTTTCAGCATGTATCAACTAGGATGTTACATAGGATAACAAATGGAACATGTATGAATGGGGTTCTGTCCCATCAGTTAATCAGTGTGGGAAGCTAATGGCCAATGATAACTGACTAAAAGGTGGCAAAGCAGGTTCTGGATAAATAAAAGTTGAGTCTTGGAAGATGAGTACTTACTGCCATGGGTCATCCCCCACAACCATAATGTCATTTTCACTGTCAGTATACAGGATTCTCCATCCCTTACTAGGATCTCTTAGAAGGCCTTCCATGCTAAATAGTCTCTCTAGTTCGATCAGCAGGTCATTGTAGCTGCTCAATCTTGAGAGATCAATGGCTCTTCCAACTAAGCTACCTTGCTTGTGAACCTTCATTCAGTGTTATGTTACATGGGTGGGCAAATTGTCAAAGGAAGAGAAAAAGGCATATCACAATATAACTCTGTTGCTATCATCGCTCACCTTTGTGCAACTCCTTTTAGCAGAGTTCTGTAAATTTTGGGTGGTAGTTTCCCCATATAAGGGAAACCCAAATAGCTTACAAGCATTTACCTTCCCCTCGAAATTGTCTTCATTTGAAATCCTCATGTTTGCCCCTAACGAAGCAGCACTGGAAATATTGTCCTGCAGCCTCTGCTCATTTGGGATTGTGACATCTGATCGTCCAACTTCATTTCTCATGATCCCTGATTGAGTGGAAGGAGTGTGAAATGGTAGATTCTCTCGTTGGAAATTGGTGGGTTTAGAGCACAACATGCTGCTACCTTGACCAGTTTTGTGAATGTCACTATAAGGAAAGTATGCAGTTTGAACAACTTCTGGTCCTAAAGAGTGAAAGTTAGGTTTGGTTGCCTGATGCAGGTTGTAATTTGTGCAACTGACACTGGGTTTGCCCCAAGCACCAAGGTTCAAATCAACCTTTCCTGTCAGGGATCTCAAAGGGCATATTTCTTGACCTTGCAAGACCCTTGGAAACCTGTTAGTTTCCGTGAAACCTGCATAACTAGAAGGGTGAACCTTCATAAGCTCAGCAGCAGCAATCTTTCTCATTCCAGTTGACAGAAGATTAGGATGACTTGGAGATCTGATCTCAAATTCTGGCTGCTTAGTTACTGTGTCACATCCATAATATAGTGACATAAAACCTGTATTTTCTTGACCTTGCAAGACCTTGGGTGATCTTACAGACTCCTCAAAGTCCATAAACCCACTGCCTCCTGCTGCCACACCTCCCATGCAAAAGGCAAAGAATAAATAAAGAAGAGAGCATAATTAGGATGCATTAAGTTTACTGATTTTTGTTATTTTGGCTTTCTCAGCATTATAAGGATTCATACCAGTGATGAGGTGACTGGGTGAAGCAGCCTGCAGACCTGGCCGCAGTTTCTTCAGCCTTCGGGAGGATTGAATGCTCATGGGAGGGAGAGATACAGAAGGATCTATCTCCCATGGAGATACTCTATCTTGATGATTAATCTCAATATCCTCATCCCATCTGACCTGTTGGATATCACAACAAGCTTTATATTAAACAAGCTATCTCAATTTGCTCTATCAGCGTACTGTGTTAAAATTCAAAAACACTAGCTTTGTAGCGAGAATATGATTGCAGCCTTAGATGAAAGATGATTTCTTGATGTGATGTTGTGCAATTAAACAATTTAGGTGAAATCTTAGCCCAAATAGACCAGTATATTATGCGTGAAGAAGACAATATATTGTGCAAACACGTATTCTATAGAGGATTAGATTTCTCAGTGGTTCCAAATAAAGTGGCTTAAAAAATCTCAGTTATAAATTCCTTACTCTCAAGATTTATCAATTCACTGCAACTACAGAAGCAATGATAAAATGAAATATATAAATAACAAACCTTGTATGAAAATGCATCATTAATATAATTCGGTTGATGAAGCATATGTTTCAATCTCAAGGTTGGTGAAGATAAACATAGAAATGCGAAATGAATAATAATACGGTTAAAACATACAACGTAAAGAGAAAATAGCAAATGTACCATCAAGCACCTCCATTTTGACTTAGGCCATTTGTAGGGATCCATATCACTCATTCCAGTCACTACACCACTAGTACACCTGAAGACAGGAAAAGATGTCTTATTTCTTGGTAAGATTTTTATTGGTTCAAGGAAGGCAATGGTTAAAGATTTATAACTATGCTGTAGTTGACCTTCTTTCTGGAGATTCATCCATTTCAAATTTCATTTTGAATCTTGTCCCAATGGTCACAGGATTCTTGATGCTTTTGACATATTTTTGGTAGGACACAACAAAATCTGCATGACTTGCTCTGCGTCATACCAAATATAAACCCGTTACAAATTTATTGCTAGATTCTTAAGCCAATCATGAGTACATTAGAATCCTTTATCAAGCAAGAAACAGGAAAAGCTTCATATATATAATGAACATGTCCAAACATGTTAGTATCCAACCAACAATGAACAATTCAATAAAGAAGGGAAAAAGGGGATAGATAATGCAAGAGGAAAATTAAATCAGCTGAAGAGAGTTATCCAGTTCCTTTTTATAGGAAACATCATATTTATTTTATTTCTTCAAAGGGTGAGAAGAAGATGGAATTCATTCTCTCCCTCCCCACCGTTCAAAAAAATCAAAACTAGTGAGCTGTTAAAGTCTTAACATCTAAGTTTTGTTCAAGTTTAAATCTTCATTCTTTACTATGCTTGCATCTACATTCATATGCTAATAATATTCCCTAGCACGTAAAATGTCTGTGTCAGATCCCACTTGATGGTCAGGAGTCTCCAAGGCCCATTCCTCATGGGTTTATCCTATGGACATGACCAACAACTAAAATGTGATTCCACCAGACAATTTCAGGTAGAATTAAAATCCTTTAATGCCAGATATGGTACTGCAATCGTTTAACAGAAGCTGGTGTAGCTCTATCTACAGCTGCGCTGACTATCCTGATAGTTATAGATATATTAGCTGATGAACCCTACTTGCCTATTTCTGACCATTAAATCCCTTCCTTGACAAGGATGCAAAGCCCTTAACCAATTTTGTCTGTTACAGTCACAGCATCAAATCAGAAGAATAACAGACAACTAGTAGACATTAAATAAGCATGTGGCCTATCATTTGAGCACTTTCTAAGTGAAACAATGCTTTTACAGTGTGCTCACTCTTTTTTCCAGATCTTACCATGTGAACTTGAACAATACAATCACTTTAATTTCATTGTGACCATAAGAGTCAGTTACTAACTGATAGATGAGTTTATCGAAGGTTAAACAATTAGACATTTTGCAATGTAGTACCTTGGACTGTAGAAAACATGAAACATGCTTTTTGCAGATATAGCATTAGCCACAGAAGAAAGGAAATTGGGATAACAACTCTGGCTACCAACAATTGATTCAGGAAGACCATTTTTTGGTCGCGCAGCCCTTCTGATTCCCAATCTCAATTCTCCATTTTCACCCCTACAGAGAAATTAATGAGCAATAAGAAATCTAAAAGAAACTAGAAGGATAGACTCCTATCTTCCTTACAGACTGGTACAGAGAATTTCAAGAAAAGTATTTGGATATCATTATCATTCATTTTTTATGCTTTCAATTTTTGGCAAGACATAAATCATCGATCCTCATGAACAAAATAATGACAGGAGGTTTAGAGATATGTTCTATTTCTGTGAGAAGACTGCAGATTCCTCGTGCTAATTTGGTACTTAACAGTCACTTTGACAAGAAGAACCTTAAAATTAATAATCAACAAAGAATATATACTAATGATTTATGATTCCGATAAAAAAACAAAATTAATGACATCCAAATATTTTTATTTGGCAGTCTTGGCTAAATATGGCAATATGGCATCAATTACTAGAATTTCATATATAAAATTGGTTGCATACATATCAATAACAACGAAAAAAGAATTATCTTGGTTCAACATACACACACACACACAAACATCCACCTTAGAAAGAGCACAGCATCTCCAGAAACAAGATTCTTTTGGCTAACAAAAATACTCCAGCCAGTAGTGAGCAGATGCCGCCTTGGCTGACCTGACAAAAATTACCACATGGACTTTCTGTATCATTGATAGTCAAAACATGATTATGAAGCCAGCTTTTTATTATTATTATTAATTACCTCGGTAAATATGACGAAATTTCCACTCCACACCATGCAGGTCTTTGGCAACAAGCTCTTGAGAGGGTCTCTGCTGCTTATAGTCCTGTAAATAAACATTAAAGGAACTCATCAGTCATCACCCTCAGGGAAACAATGAATTCAAAACTCTTGAACAACTTTGTGAGAAATTATCAGTGCAAAATAGAGCATGATGTCACACCAAAGGAGGAAAACAGTCCTCAGCTGCTCTGCGAGGAACAGAGAACCCCCCATGAGTGCTGGTGTCAGAGGCAGTAAGCGTTTTGCAGAACATGTGAGGGGTTGATTTTGTAGGTGTTGTTCCATTCCCCTCTTCATCTTCTTCCAATTCCTCAAGCTCTTTGCCCTCCAAATACATCCCTGCTAACTGAACACAACCCAAGATTTCAAGCCAAGTATGAAAATGGCTCAAAGTAATAAGAAATTATCATCATTCCATGGAAGCAAAACAAACCAAAGCTGCACTAAAACGAATAATAACAACCAACCTCTGTCTGGGGAAGCAAAGTAACCTGAGTATAAACCTCATCATTCTCCTTATTGGCCTATTGATAGAGAAAAAAAGAAAAAGAAAAAATAAACAATTAAAAACAAATCAAATGAACAGAACGAACCAACACAAGGGAGCAACTTTACATGAATTAAGCATATAGAAGTCTATCTAAGAGGAGAGTTCACACTTCACACTTAATTTGAGTACTCACAAGTAGTTGAACATTGACAACTCTACAAAAGATCTGTGGCTGAAGATCATAAGTGGGCATCTCCATTGGTGTAAAGGCAGAGAAAGATGCAGCTTGTTCCAAGTGACCCTGTGGAAAATACACCACCACATTCCCTTTCTTTGGAAGAGAGGTTTGAGGGCCAGCACAAGCGTGCCATAGCTCAAGATATGAAGACGACATACGTGCAGAGGAGGAACCAGAAGTTGAAGAGGACAAAGAGCAAGCACAAGTAACACCTTTCTCACAGACCCCATTGCAAGATGCATTTTTTTCAACCTCAGTCCCAGCATCATCGTTCAGATCAATTTCCATGAACACCCCAAGTGTGGTTGTTCTTGGGTTTCGTGGAGTGGGACTCAAATGGGAAACCGAACAGAATATAAAAAAAGAAACAAAAAAACAAAAAAGGAAGATAAAGGAGGGACCAAGCGAGAGAGAGAGGGTTTTGAAAAAAGGGAAAACCAGAAAGTGAGAACTGTAACAAAATGGAAATGAGGTCAAATCATGAAAAAGGAATTCATGTTTGGAGGGACACCACAGAAACAGGGGAGGAGTGAAACAGAGGAGAGAAGAGTGTGAATCAAATAATAACAAGGAATTCAAAGTATGATTCCATTTTCACACCCATTTGCAGGTACTGAGAAGAGGGAGCAGACATGGACAAATGCATAGGAAGCACAGAAACAAAAGCCAACAAAAGCCAATGTAGTAGTGGCTTTTGGATTTGGAGAAGTGTTAGAGAGAGAGTGTATGTGTTGGGTGGGGGGGACAGGGGAAGACAGAACAGAACCCACACTCCCCCACCCTCTTCTCCTTTGCTTTTCCACTTCGCTTTATCTTTTCTTTTCTTTTCTTTTCTTTTCTTCTTTTATTAATATTTTCCTTTCACTTCTCTCGTGGGTGAGGCCCTCCACCAACACAACCAAACCCTTTCACTCATTTCACTAAACAATTTCTACATCATTTTTTCCCATCCCTCATCATTCTTAAGAAAAATACAACCTCTCAACTTCACCCACCACACACCATTTATTAGGTGTATGTAAATAACTAACAAAAATCTTAATCACTGTATTAAAATATTAATCAAACAAACAAATATAAATATTTTATTAATATACATGTTTATCGTACTTTCTAACACATGCTTTAACATAAATTTAATAACAAATTATCTATTAATTATTTTCAAGTATTAGCTAAAATGACCTTAACTATAGTTTTGTGAGATTTTTAATAGTCTCGTGAGATAAATTTTTAAAATATGTAATTATTTTAAAACAAAAAATTCATCCATTTTTTAATTTTTGTATAACATTATTTTTAAACAATTAAAATTAAAAATAATTTGCAATGCAATATTTATTATATTATTTTTAATTTAATTTTCGAAAATCAACACTGGTTTAATAATAAACTAAATGAGAGGAGGAGAGAAAAAGTGGTGTGGGTTTGGTTTGGCAGCAACTGTTGTTGTTAGTTGTTAGGACTCCTAATGAGTTGCTGAGAGAGAAAAGAGTGTCTGCAATAACAGTCACTCCTTTACATATCTCCCGTCTCATCCCTCTTCCCTTTTTTCATAATCTCACGCGCTTCTCCATTCTCTCTTTCCTTCATCTGTTCACTGTTTTTTACCTTCCCCAAAATAGACCATTCATTCTCTGCATCAGCATACATTCAGGGGGTCAAATCTCAGTTCAATTTCGTTTCAACAAACAATCAATTTCATTCATTTTTTATGTTCTTATTCTTATTTTTAAGTTTTATTGTTCCTTCAAAATATCATTTTTTTATTTAATCCTTATAAAAGTTTTATGCAATGTTAGTGTCTACAAAATATTAAAAAGGACATGATTTTAGTCTCTTATTAAAAACTAAAATTACATATTTTTTTGTTGAATATCAAAATTTTAATTGAATAAAATCTTAAAAGAATTAGAACAAAAATAGTTATGTTTAAAAAAAATATTATTTGATTAAGGCATATTTTTATTGCATTACTTATCAATTTTTTTAATCCTTCTCCTTTTCTCCCTATTTGACACATGAAAGCCTACAATTACAGTGTCAAATAATCATTTTTCAATTTCATTTTCACATATAAAGCTTAATAGACATTACAATTTGCAAATTTTGTTTATTGAAATAAGAAGAATACGACAGGATCTTTAAATGCTACTTTTCTTATGCTAAAGTATGATCAATAATAACTACACCACACATCTTTTTTTATGTCAAGCACGTTCACATCTTTATTCTTTGAGGAAATAAATGGAAAAATCAAACTAGGATATGGTCAACTTGGATTTATTGGTTGACCACATGTTGCTTAAGTAGTGTAAAATAATGATGATATATAGGATAGAGTTAGAGTAATTTGCAGGTTTTGAATTCAAACCCACGAGTTACTGAGTTGGATTCAACAGCAACCCTTCACTCTCGTAGGTAAAACGTCAAATAGATGTAAAATCACTAATACTAATAGTAATATCAATAGTTTATGCATGAATGTGAAAGTTTTATCTTGTTGGCCCTTGAATTAGAAGAGGTTTAGTTTTCTTTCTCCTAGCTTATTCACAGACACCGAGATAAGAATTGTTTGAATAAAGATAAACTAAAACATTAGCACTTTTTAAGAGCTTTTGGAGAACTACAACATTTTTTTCCCTTTCAACTGTATCACTTTGTTGTATCTTTGCTAGCCCTTCAGGGTCGCCTCGTGCATACATAATCAACACACTTCTGTAATAAGTGGCCCCTAAATCCTAATAATGCTTAGAGTCATATCTTTTTATAAAGTAATATTAATTAAAATATTGGCATGCACGGGTTAATTTCACTTTTTCACTTTTATTTTCCTTAAATAATTATTCATAAAAAGCGTTAACGTACGCAATCATATGTCATAATCGACAAATCTAAAATTAAAAAAATGAAAAAAATGTAACTTGATCATAGATATCTGCATAAGAGTGTGCAAAATATATATTGATAATGAATCACGAAAGAAGGTAGTGTGAAGTAACTAAACATTAAGATGTTAGAATATTTTTCTATTCTTATTGAAAAAATGAAAGCAACGAAATAAAATCGAAATTAGTGCTCTTTCTTTAATAGTAAAGATACATTGTATTGTATAAATACGTAGGGTTCTGTTCAAAATATGTTTGCATTGCAGAGTTATATACTCTTTCAAGTTGCTAAAAGCTGTAAGTGTCCATCAAAGCTACGATGCTTTCGAAGTTCTAACTTTGTCATATTTGTAAGGAATGGATTATGACTATCACAATCATATTAGTAATTCTCATAGCACGATTGATTGATTCTTAATAAGTAGTTATACACGCAACAGCATAATATAATTCTAATTAATTAATTTTTCAAGTTCTTTTGATTACCATTTTGAGCATTAGATTTGACAAAGAAATGAATGACTCTTATTTTACTTGGGTAGTGCATTTAAAAGTTGCCCACAGAATATACATATATCTTCACATGCCTACAAATGGATAGTAGACAATTAGATATGGACGTGACTTAAAGGTTTGTCTGTCCTCGTGCTAAAGTCATGCGAGTTTCATAAAAAAAGTTGGTTAAGTCCACATCAAAAGTGGGTTATATTGACTGAAATTGGACTTGGCTTGATATTTCTCTTTTGGTATGCGAGCATGAAAGGAAAACAAATAGATCAATTAAATTTTGCTTGATTATGTGTCACCGACAATAAATATTTTATTATTTCTTCAAATTAATTGAATCAAATCACGTATTTAGTAATAAATTTACATTATCAACGAATAAATGGCCTTCAGAAATTTGGATGTAATGTATAAACCGAAAAAAGAAGCAAAGAATAGCACCACAAAATGCTACACAATAATTAGACTAGATGCTCTGCCATCAAATGCTTGATATTCAGAGCATATATATATATATTATCAAGTTAGTTTATTTATTTGTCTTGGTTCTCTTGTGACCTTTATCTTGAATCAGGATACTGACAATAACAGTGTTCTTGAAGAGATTCCATCTGTTTTAAGTGCATGCGCCCTTTATCAAATTTTTAGAATTCGTTAAATATATAAACACACACCTTTCAAAAGTTATATTAAAAGGGTTCTTATTTTTCTTCCAAAACAGAGGATCAATGCAAGTATTGATTACATTTCAAGTTAAACCCACTGTTAATTAATGATGAATATTGCAATTTAAGGAATCTTTTCTTACCGAAAGCGAAGGTAATTTAAATTCATTTACTTTTTAAAATATATAAAAGAAAAGTTGGACGCTTTCATGATTAAGTTCATTTTGCTCTTTTTTTTGCCTATAATTTTTTATTTGTACCATATGTAATAATAATTCAAGCATTATCTTAAAAATATTAGATATTTTAGGTTTTGTAAAATTAATAAAAATGTAACTTTTAGTCTATCAAATTTCGTGCTTATGATTTTATATTCACTATTTTTAATCATCGGGAGATGTAAGCTAACAAAATCTTAATAATAAATGAATCATAAATTCTTTCGTTTACAAAATATTAATATGAAATATAAAAATATTAAAATTGATGTAATTAAAATTTATAATAAAAACATATTAATGATATTTTGATTATTTAAATTCTTAATTAATATCTTGAAAATATTGATTAACATTTTGGATATAAAAATCTGAATTGCATTTCATTGGTTGGAACAATTTAAACAAGGAATAATGCATGATCTGATGCGCTGCATTAACACACAAAACAGTAATAATTACTAAGTCGAATGATGATGTGGATTTGGTCACTCTATTTCTTATTTCACGAAAATTAAGGATGTTTATTGAGCGCGCACGTGGCACCCTGGCAGTAAAATTGGTTCTTTTCCCCTGTGGTTTTCTCTGAACCCTTTTTCTGGGTAGAAAGCTAGGTAACATTGTGACACAGACATTGACATGCCGAAGCACTTTATTAAAGCTACACAGCACAAGCGTCTTTCAATCCCTTGCACTCCAAACTCCGAAGTCAGAGAAAGAGAGTGCGCGAGGCTGAGCATTGTTTTATGTTCGTGTCCCCTTATGTAATAAAAAACACCACTACACACAAACATGAATAGGACAATAATTACTAATTAGTAGTAATCAGCATCAATATCTATGTAAGACTAAATATGACTTTTTTTTTAGTATAGAATTTTAAGAAGAGAGAATGCATGGCATTTCAATTTTATGATGAAAACGTATGATGAAAATATGTGTTATTATTAAAATGGATGCATGAAAAACATGTCAACTCTGACCAGCTTCACTGATTCCTTCTCAATCTTTCCCAAAAAGGAGAAATGAGAAATTGTGTGACTTATGAATTCTCAACCATCCAAATTCCTGCTTTTCCTTCCTATCAAATAAGGGATCAATCTTTTCTTCCCCCCCTTCCTTTAACCAATACTTTTCACTCAAAATTTTCACACCAAATGAATCATCACAACTCTTCAACCTATGCTTGACAAGCAATACATAAATCTCTCTCTCTCTCTCTCTACTTTAATCAATGTGTCTTTGTCTGGTGGATTGATTCTGTCTTTGTCTGGCAATAAGCAGCTTTTCACTGTTTAGTTTTTAGTCTTTTTAATCGCCCGCATTTATCGTACCCTTCATCATATGTCCATGTCTGCTTTCCAATATTGTTGGTGTGTGTCTGGGTGTATATTATTTCATTATATCTTTCATGTTTATTTATATTTATAATAACTTTTTTTTTTGTAATTTTTAATAATACTGTACTGTTTACGTTTAAAAACAGTTTTTCAATATTTTTTACAAGGTATTGAGAGAATTGTTGAAAATGTTGGAAGAT